TCAATGGGGGCGAGATCGCCGTTCTGACTTGGAAAAGGCAGCGAGAACCTTGCAGCCCAGACATCAAATTCAGACGCGTGACTTGTCACTGATTGCGTTGGAGCAGCTTCATGGTCTCCATAGAAGCGAGAAGACAGAAGCGCTATAGCTACATTATCAGATGACTTGGCGAGAGAGTGGATGCGGAATGGAGTTGGAGCCAAATGAGGAGTTTGCGTGTGATCAGAAAGCTCAAAGCAGCCCAGGGTAGTAGCAACCCCTTCTGCAGGAAGTCCGAGGATGTAAAGTGCCCCTTGACCGTCGGCGATGAATGCGGTCTGTGCGTCAAGAAACACTGCTGATGGATATTCGCGATGGATCTGCACAGCTGCGGGAGCACTAATTGGAGTTGGAAGTGCATAAACGACAGTGAATGATGGTGTGTGACTGTCCTACTTGTGCACGATGTGAGACTCATGGTGGAACAAAAGATGGTATCACAAAAGCCTACATTCGTGAGGTCGACAAGGATAACGCGATGTTCCGAGTCAATGTATAGACACCTGCCACTGTCGTTTGCAATGGCCAGGTGGTTATGCGTGATCCTGCTCTGGACCTCCTTGAAAGACAGTGGAGATCGACCAGAATTAGCCATTTGTGTGGGTCTATATTCGAGCCCGAAACGCGTTACAGTGTCTTCTTGTGGGATTACTTCCAGTTTGTAACCCTCGAATTTTGGGTTCAGGAGGGCATGGTTTGGCGTGAAACTCGACATCACTGTGAGTGGAATGACACAGGAGAAATGTGACCTACGGGGCTCCCTTTCTTTTCGGGCATAAGCGATAAGTCTAGACTTGGTCTAGATGACGGCGTCACGTGCCTATCGGCTCTAGCAGGACAATTCTTCGCTCTTGCCAGTGAACTTAGCTTGATCGATTGACTTGCATTTGGGCAACATACGATTTCCAAAGTCATACATTCCAGGCATTCTGTTTCCATCGCTCCCTCAGGAAAGATCGATCATATAGTAGACTAGACCGCCGTGTCCACCGTGATCCCAATGACTGAAACCGTGCGTATTTACAGGCAGGGGGTTGACATCATCCCTCCTCACCCAGGCAGCGATTGGACTCGCTTTGTCTGCATCTCAGACACCCATTCTCACACCTTTCACATACCCACCGGTGACGTTCTGCTGCATGCTGGTGACTTGAGTAGCTGGGGTAGCCTTTCGCAATTGATTGTCACAGTCGAATGGTTGAAATCATTGGATCACCCCGTGAAGATGTAAGCTGGCATTTGTACTTCTATGATGTTCCAGGCGCATTACGCTAACTTGCAATGGGCCAAGCATGGTCGCAGGCAATCATGACGTACGTCCTAAGCTAGCAACATCACTCAGATTTCAGGCCAGACTTTTGTAGCTTTGTCTTGACGAGATGTGGGCTCAGCCAATATATGGCCTCCTGCCAGAAGTGAGTATGGATTTCTCTAAGCATTAGTCGAGCTATCCAGAGAATCGATAACAGGAGGTCCAGCAAGCACGGACCTATGTACGGAGTCAAACAGCAGCAGGTCTGCACTACATTGAGCATGAACCCTTTCGTTTCATGTTATCTTCGGGGCGCCAATGGAAGGTCTATGGATCACCGGTGAGCATCAATCACTTTCGCGAAGCCGGTACCTCATGGAACTGATTTGCATGCAAGGCTGCTCCATTATACGCTCCAGGATCATTTCAGTACGAGACTCCAGATGAAGCACGAGGTATGGTTTGGGGCCAGATCAATGTTTGCGGGTTCTGACCATTCTCTAGTGATTTATAACCGTATACCCAACGATACGGATATCTTGATCACACATACACCTCCTTTCATGACTTTGGACAGAACAAGGAAGGGCAAGCACGCTGGATGCCATGTCCTGTCGAACAAATTAGCGGAACTGCGTAACTGCCGGCTGCATGTCTTTGGCCACATCCATGAATGTGCTGGAGCGCAAATCAACACACATGACCCATTCAGACTGGTCGACAGGGCGTCCGTGAATGCGGCCATGGCCGTGACGAAGAAGGCGATCGTCGTAGACCTACTGAATTGATGGAACACCCTGGACTACAGATATCATGTACACCTAGTATAAATAAGCGGTGACCTTTGGTCGTTGCTTTATTACAAAGGGAGGGTTTGATATACTATATTTGCACCAATTTCTCTTCGTTCCCTCTTGAAACTCGACGGCTTTTGACACGGGACATATGGTTGACCAATGAGCAAAAAAATCTGTTCTGAAATCGAGAACTGTGCAAGAGAGTGAAACCTTGGCAGCCCTTGAGAGTAGTTGCAGGAATCTGTTTGCGTTTCACTGTCCAACAGGAGCAGCAAGGATGAGAATGAAATGTGATTCGTGGAATACAGTGGTTCTTGAGCAGTTGAACCGAAGATGTAGAGCTGTTATTCGTACTCGCGGTAGTCGCCAGCTAGTGTTTATAATTTTATCGTTGAGTTCGTCGCAAAATAGGTTTTGTGGAAAGAAGAAAGCACGTTCGAGGCAAGCGCAAGCCCACTAGCCAGTATGCGCGGAGAGCTTTGTCAATGTCTGTTTCACAGCCACGATGAGAATAGGCAACGCACGATTGTCGTCACCAAGAGGTTCTATTGGTTTTTGTGAAAATAGCATGGGTAAGGTGAGACAACAGTGGGTAACAGGAGGACAGTGAATATCGTTTGCATATAGAGGTAAAGTATGAGTAGGAGTGCCATCATCGGTCACTGCAGAACTAATCATGGGATTCATAGCGCGAGCATGCGTTAAATGCTACTGTTAAGTCACCATCAGGTAGAACGATGTAGCCATTTTATTTCCAATAGTTTTTGTTGTCGTATTGTCATGATACCTAGATCCATTCTGGATAGCGACCAATTCATGAAAAGTACAGGTGGTCGCCATATAGCACTGGAACGAAAGAACGAAAAAAGGAGCAATGAGAAGTGGTAACAGGATGTGAGCTTGCGTCAGTGTTGTACTGCGTGCTGGAAGGTGTAGATGGTATCCATGTATGGCTGATAGTGTCGTGAAACAAAATAGAAGAGTAACTTGGAGGTCAAAAGGATTGCAAATGAGCAGCACAGCATGACAGGGTGGACACCATTGACAACGAGCCGGCGGCTTATATATGTTAGATGACTGGTGAGTTATCCTCCAAAAAATTTCTGCAAGTGAAGCTCATGTATGGAGGCACCACAATTCTCATGCCTGCAGGTTGCACCATCAAGATTTAAGTGATCCACCATCGATCCTCTGAAGAGTTCGAGAAAGACGGACACCTTCGGGCCCTCGCTGCAGTTTCAGCTGATACATTGGTCGCTCCTGGCTTACATGTTGACTCGAAGTTGGGATTATAACATACGACCCGCATGTGTCTTTAGTCCATTAGCAATCAAAACACGAAATGTCGCTGACGCACCTCGAATTTTAGAGCTGGGCGTCGCACTCGTCTCATGAGTTTGTTGTGCTCCCTCGGACGGAGGTGCCGCACATCATCTGATCTTCATGCCGTCACAAGAACTCGCGAGACAAGGGATATAATTGCTTAAAGAAAAACAGTTCCTCACACCTGATGTCGAATCGTCTAAAAGTAAGTGAGCTCGGAGGGAATCCAACAAGAACTAACTTATATACAAGCCAAAGTATAATGATTCAACATTCTGTGTACTGCCTGAAATTGCGTTGCCAGGTATAGGTACCTCAGGTTGCATCGTCATGCAAAAGGACGTATTCCCGATTTGACAATCCAAATTTGATGACTGCAACAAGTCCTGTAGGTGAATCAAAATACTCATGTGGAATGGGAAGCACTCACCATCACCCGCTTTGAGTTCGTAGAACCGTGATGTCGGAATGGCCTCATCGTTGACATGTGTACTATTTGTAGACTCTAGGTCGATGATGAAAGGCCTGTATTCTCAGTTGTAAGAGATAATCACAAGAGCAAACATAATAACACGCACTTGTTCTTCGATTTTGAGGCGCCGAATTCATCTTTCTCCATTACCTGACGATCTAGAGTTGTTGTAAATAAGATGCCAGCTAGAATTTTAGATAAATACTGCTACTCACGCTGGATCACAGCATGCTGCTTCGAGCAGGAGGGATGTTCAATTAAGATATCAGTGACGGTACGATCACGTCCAATTAGATAGGCGCTTTGGCGATGAATGTGGAGTAATTCTGCCTGAAAGTTAATACTGGGTATCAGAAGAGAAACATATAGCACTGACCAAGTTGCTCGCTTCCTTTGAACACGTACAACCTCCAACCCAGAGTGGGCTTTCTTGCTTCTGGGGGTTCGTTATATTTTAGGATCGTGCTCGTGCCGTCAGTCAACTTGACAGCATTTGTCTCTGCAGCCAGCAACCCAGAATTAGCGAAATTGGGTTTGGCCTTGTCGATAGGTGGAGGGGACTTAGACCGAGAGCTAGAGCGTGGGGGAGCGGAGGGTTGGATAGAAGATGGTCGTTTGGGGGATGCAGAACGACGAGACGAGGTTGCAAAGTCTCTACTTCGGCGCCTGCTGGGTCGGTCACCGTCATCTCGACCATCCCTACCCCGTTCGCGGTTGGGCCTGCTGGGCCTGTCATGGTCATCTTGACCTTCCCTGTCCCTTTCGCGGTTAGGCCTTCTAGAATCACGATCACGGTCACGATGACCGTCTCTTCTACGATAATCATCATGTCTGGCACGCCTATCATCGTCATCGTTATTCCTTCGCCTGTCTGAATTACGCTCATAGTCTGCACGCTCCATTCTGGGATAATCTTTCTTTCCTTTTCTTCCAGAACGGTCTTCTTCTCCTTGGGTACGGAACCGTCTTCTCGGTGAGACTGAGGTGTCGCGAGGCATAAGTAGTTCTGGAATGTGCAGTACAAGGCTCTAAGAACTGGAACAACTGCGAATTTCAATGAGGTGAAACTACTCTAAGTCTCTCAGTAGCCCTTCTTGCTGAGTCATCAACATCACATTCATTTTGTTAACCCAAATATTGACAATAGACAATCGACACGTACAGCGTACCGCGGACAGAACATTTTAAATACAAAAAAGTACGTGGAAGACGAAATAATCGAAACAAGTGCACACTCGTTGATCGAGTCTGGTGCCATCTTGGATATCTGGGACCCGCCAACATTTTCTTGACACCTCCTGAACTTCCTCTGCTTTTCGCCTGATGCTCCGAGTCCTTTGTGCTGCGACCGTCTAGATTGCTTTTGTCGGTGTACTCCAAGGCATGCCGTTGAATTCAAGATAGAATGGGTCATACGGCCCGGGCATGTCATCCCACTTGTCTCCCTGAAACCAGACCGGAGCACGAGGTTCAGGTGTCTGCGCGAATGCGGACGTTAAAGGCACTGCAGGGGTCACGTCTGAGTGGGTAATTGGAGAGGTCGGATCAGGGAATGCATCTTGTGGTGCCAATGCAATGGGCGCGCGTGTGAGGTACGCGATGTGCTCAGAATTCTCGACTGGGTAGCCCGGATCTGCGTCACTCGCAAGCAGCTGGTTTCTGAAGAGAGCGGCGGCTTTTCCTGTGTCATTCCCTTGAGAGTTATTTGGAGGCTCGCCAGTTGCTTTCGCTGGGCGGTTCACATGTTGCTCGGCTTCTCCCCCTATACCGAGAAGTGCATGAAGGAAGGGGAAGAGAGCGCAGAGGAATAAAAACATGACGACTTGGTCCCATTTGCGTTCGGGTAAGTTTTCGAGACATATGTTCAGGAGCCAACGGAACATATTGCAACGGTTATAGCGACGTCTTGAGGACTGCCCGATCCTGTATCTGTTTTCTTTCTGGAAGCCTGATCTCTGCACCATTTTGAAAAGCAAACCCTCAGTGTTGCGGTACGCATGCATCGAACAGTAAGTAACCCATACCTCATGTCAACCATGCGCCGCTTATTCAGAATTCCAATATTATAAATGGTATTCAGCATTGCAAGGGGTTCTGCTCGGCAGGCACGTAGGCGGAATGGTTATGAGTACTGGACAAAATGAGCTTTCGTGCCGACTCAGTATACTTTGTTTCAATGGCTCGTCAACCGAACTCAATCTTATCACATGACGCCGCCAGCGCCAGCCTCCAATTCGTTTATTCCTGGCCAGTATGTTTTGTGTCCGTAGTCTTTTGATTTCATTTTGCATTGGAAAATGACTGCTAATGTAATCCGATGCGATTCTGCTATCAACATACAGTATCAAGTTCTTCAACTTGTGGATGTCCATCTTGACTGGTCTAGGCACCCACCAAAAACCATGAATCAACTACTAGTCAATGAAACCCGTGGACCCATGAAAAGTTCAGGGATACAATAATCGACTACAGTTTTCGGGCCACTGCATACATACTCGTACAGCCTACTCACAGGCGACCGTCTACTGAACAACAACACTCAGCTGCAGCCAAGGTGGTAAATATAACCTCAATTTAGGTCAAAATTGCAACTACAATGTCATGCCTCGAGGCTCCAATGCTCGTATATCTCCTGCCTGTTAACAAGTGCGCCCGTCCTCCTAGCATGCTGGTGGTATTAGGGAGACAATGTCACACGGTAGAGGTGGGCGCCATTGCACCCATGCCTGCGTTCAGTCATGCTTGCTTCATAAAAACCAAATATCCCAGCGTTCAGATGGGTCCATGTCAATCATGTGCAAAAGATCGTGCCGATATAAATCCCCTGGTATGGACCCAAGTGGTTCAAGATATTGCCCACAAGGATGTTGGGCACACTCTGTATCGTGCACAGAGCATCCGTGGCATCGTCGTCACCTATATAGATGAGGATGAACAATCATGTCAGAAAAGGCAAATTTTGTACTCGCCTGGGCACTGGACTGCGTATCCATCAGATACAATGTGGACTTCTCCCTGGACATGTGAGAAGCCCATGAAGCGCCCCGGAACGATCGGGATAATGTCCTTCTCATTGTTGATGCGATGGAAGTCCGATATCTGCTCGTGGTTTTAGTAATTGGATGAATGAATAAGGTCCGAAGGGGAGAATCAAGCTTACCAGGTAATCAAAAAGAGCGGCCCATGCTGGATTTCCTACGCGGGGTGTACCATATGTCACACCTAAAAATTCCGGCTGTGAAAATCCCGCGCCCCCCTGTAACAATACTGGTGTGGACACACACCTTTGATAGCAATACTAGAGGGAAGGTTCAAGGCCATAAACACACAATCAAGCTCCGCAAGGGCGGCTCCCAGGGAGTGTCCGACCTGTCCTCAAAAATATCAAAGTTATTTTAGAGTGGTGGCAAAATGCTCGACACTGACCAGCGTGACACTGCTGGCGTTATACTGAGAGATCAGGCTCTTCACCTCGTTCAAGATTATGCTCGCAGTTCGCGCGTGCTCGTTGGCAAATCCGCCGTGAACCTCAACGTTGCTATCGACACCGGGGAAAAGTGTGGGGTCCAAGGGTTCCATCAATACATCGGCATCAGTGAGATCAGATAGGCTATGTAGGACAATAAGTTCTCAAGTCGTATGATGTGAAACGTGTACACCTACAGTTGGGTTGGATCTGTACCTTCATGAGCAACTATCACAGTATTTTCTGTCGGCCAGTAACCAACATAGTCTGCGAAATGTTTGGAAAGGCGGGTGATATTTTGATTGGAACGTACAATATTGGATACTGTCGTCGTCACCCCCTGTGAGAGAAACCTCAAAGTCAGGCACCGCATTGCAAGCCTCTAAGAACTCGATTAGTATTGAGTCGCAGCAAACCAAACAAAGTAGGGGTGGGATTGCGTACGACCACACTGCCAGCCAGTTACGATGGTAGGCGAACAGTAAGCAGCACGAGCAAATTCAGTATATGGCGCCAGATCAGCCAGCTGGTTAGACGATATTTGAGTGGCAACTGAAACATCCACCCGACGTATTGCAGGAGGTGCGCGATGAGAGACCGCCGCAACCTGCAAAATGCATGCCAGCATGAAGTTCGAAGCGGAGGAAAAGAAAAACATGATGTACTGCAAGCAGTGGATGAACAACTGGAATGCCGGGTCCCAGGGGATGAATGTAGTTAGCAGCTTTGCTGAACATGTTGCAAAGGAACGTGATATTAAGCACGCATGAGTGTTTTAGATCGGCAACTGCGCTTTAGGGATGGACTGCATGCATGCAAACGGGTACGGGTGAGCTCGTGTCATGCATTAAAGCCATTCCTAGTAGCCGCTGCAACAAAAAGCATCAGTGGATGAACCCATCACATGCAGATACTCTGGATGAAACATTATTCTGGGAATTAACGAGCTCGAAATAAGGTGGCCCCCTCAAATACGTGTGGTCACTTGACTAGACATTGCATGTGCTGTCTCTGTTGGACTAGGTTGGACACGAGGACCAACGAATAGAAAACAAAGGAAACCGCGAAAAGGTCAAACGTTAACGTTGAATGGCCGCCATGGTTTTACTTACGTAACGCCAAGAAGTCCACATTACTAAGGTGGGAAGAAGAGCAGAAGGTGCTTCAACAACAGTGAATGCCGACGCTTGCAAGCTTTAAGTGATAGCACCCGTATACTATTCCGTTCTTCTGTGGTTGATGATTTTATTGACCTCGATCTTGTAGAATTTACCTCTCTGATTGTTGTTTCATTGCGCTGCTTTTTGGGTCGTCACGGCGGTCGCGCGAAACAGACCTCCGAGCCGATCTGACAACCCATGTTCAGCGCCATTCCCACCCAACAAAACACATATCAACAGGTGGAGGTTATTCCCCTTTGAAGGAATTAGGAACACCTCCGCATCTTTCTTCCTTCCACTCATCATCGCGACAAGGCGTTCGTTCGTCTTTGCGAGTGCCACTCCGTGAACCATGTATCACACGCAGCAGACCACTTCCGAGACTCGGAATACACTGCTTTCGGATCCTTCCAATTCACAGCCATATCAGTTGAAAGATGCATTAAACCCGGAATCACTCCCCTCAATCACCAGCATGTCTCTTCCCGGCATCCCCCCTTCCAGACATTCACCAGACTCCAGAGCTAACATGAATCCAAATTTCCCTTCTCCTGCTCCAGGATCATATGGTCATTCCCACACCTATGTATCTGAGTTGGATTCATCTAGCCGCTCTCAATATGGATCGAACTCTGGCATGCTTGACTATGTAACCCGAGATCCACGGCTAGCCTCCGAGACCGATTCTTATTATCGCTCTAGCATGATGTCACGCCCTCCAGTCGCTACGGTAGACTTTGTATCCCAACTCAGCTCCGCTTTGATTCACGACCCTCCTACTCTGTCGAATGCTGAATCTCGATCCTCGCGATCGCCTGAGCAACCAGACGAAGAAGTGGATGATACTGCTGATGCTCGCAGAACTCGTCGCGAAAAGCCGCGAATTGAGCTCGCTCCAGATCAACCACTTACCACGCAGGGAAAACCCCGTGCTCGAGTTTATGTTGCTTGCCTTCAATGGTTTGTCCATTTTTTGAGCCTCACTGAGTTGACCGTTGACCCATCACAACTGCAGTCGGACACGCAAGATACGTTGTGACGGGGCGAAACCCCAATGCCACAATTGCAGTCGACGTTCCAAGATTGGAGATGAATGTACATACGATGCAGTGCCAAAACGTCGGGGTCCTGACAAGACTCCTGGCGCCCGTCAGCGAATGGCTCGGGATGCTCATGTTGGAAGCGAGAGCGACGTTGCTGCATCCCGTCGGCGGCGCAGAAAAAGGCGTGAAGTGTCTGCGACCAATACCATTTCAGATCAAACGGCTAATACCGACTTGGAGAGCGATCAACCTCAGCCCGAATCCCTCATCTCATTTCCTAATATCCCCCCACCCGTCATCGACCCACAATTAACCGCCATGTCTCCTTTTCCGGTAGAGGGTTCAGTAGGGTCGAACTCGTTTCAGCCCTTACCGCTGAATATCCTCACTGATGCAGTTACATTGGTCGCACCTTCAGATAATGAGGTTCTATATCGTACTATGACGAGCACTGAGGTACCGACTTAATTACTTGTTGGACGAAGTCCGCTCATATTACCTATGAATCAAGGACACAAACAATGATTTCGGTTTTACAACTCAGTTGGATTTTCGGTTATTTGAGTCATATGGCCATAGCCCACCTCGGGCATCCATTGCTTCACTGGACAATGAAACCAGTGAGACTTCAGACGAATCATCAAACATCACACCCGAACCCTCTCTTGATTTCACCCGTAAAACATGGTGGGATTCACTTCTTGCCATTTACACTTGCTCATCATACCTTCCTTCCCTAACTGCGACGCAACGTTGCCATGCTACGGAGTCGATCACTGCAGACATTCAATTTCTACTCCGCGGATCTAACTATTGGTTTAATTTTATCAATGTTCCTCAGTTCCTTGGGAGGTACTTTAATCCCGTAAAGAGGGAGCAGATGCACCCCGCGCTGCTTCCGGCTGCTCTTGCTATTGCTGCATTGTTTCAGAGTTCAGAAGTGGGCAACGGGAGGGAAGGGAGAGACCGAGCTGTTAGGTTACGAGATATTGCGCAAGGTCATCTCGAGGCAAGCCTTAATGCTCGTTGGATAGATGATTCGCTCGCTCAAGCTGCCTGGGTCAGTTCATACATCTGCAACGTTGTATAAGTGTTCATGTGTCACGATCACCTCTTAGCTTCTGGCGTTCTTCGAGATTTGTCCCCATCCTCAATACACCAGGGAGCGGTCCTCATCAGCTGTACTCATGCTTGACATGATCATACACGGCCTAGGGCTGACTTTTCTTGATGTCGACAATCCACATTCTGCCAAGTTCTCGCCTCGATCTGTGCCTACGATTGCACCCCATACGTGGAACCCCCCTCGGCAGGCTGTATACCCGACCGACCACTTACTCGCCACTCCTAGTGTCACTCAGTCACAATATCCTTTGAAAGGTTGCTCCTGCTCTTCCATGACGCTTGGCCAGCATTGGCCAGCTGCCTATGAGCACACCCCACTTTGGGTTACCACTCCTGCGTGGGATAATAACTGGTCAGAAGCTGAGGTCCGCAAAGAGGGGTGCCGCCGATTATGTTGGAGCGCCCTCGCCTTAATCGCCGGCCACACTTCATACGCTACTGCTGAGAAACGTATTCCTCCGGAACTTTTCCTTAGGGAACCCGCGAATGTGAGTCTCAGCGATCCTTGTGAATCAGGTACTCACATTCTATGTAGTTTGCGCTGCTCTTTCCTGGAGAGGCACTAGGACTATCAAGCATGACATCCCATCATTCAGGGAAAGACACTGTGTGGGCATTAATTCACCGAACGATGCTTCTCTGGCATAGCTGCCTGCAAATCAGACGCACCTCGGGTGCAAACGATGCTGAAATGGCTCGTTTTGCAGTAGATGCGTGGCTAGAGGCAGATGCGTTAGAGCAAGCATTTGACGCGCATACCTGTGACTTGGAGAGGACTTTCTTGTTCCAAGGTCGGGAGTTTTTATTCAAGTAAGCTAGGGACGAACTACTTTGATCTTCTGTGCAATGGCTGATTGTGGCAGCGTTCGTATGACGGTATCTCATGAATTCAATCGGTTTATCCCTGTCGCTACTGCGTAAGTCTTGAAATGCAACCAAGTGTGGTTATCGATCACTGATTTGTTCTGTTTTATATAGCGATGCTAACGGACTATTCCACAGGGCCAGGGAATGGCGTCAGTTGCTAAATTAATCGCGTTGTTCCTCTATTGATGACCTGCGAATAGTATCTCATCAGGCTAATATTGCCCAACGCGTTGTACTTGGAATGAACGCGGTGACTGGCCATGCTGCTCACTCCCTCATACACAGGCCATTCTTCATTTTCTGGTTCATGAGTCAGATCAGCCGGTAAGCATTTCATTTTACTCTTATGTATGACTTATCGACGGGGTATTGCTTCAGGGCACTCGCTCTGTGGGATTGCGACAATACACTGACCCTTGCTCTTGACGTTTGCATAGCATTCTTCAAGCCTATAGACTACCTAACTGCCCTCTGGCCTTGCGAAGGTATGGTTTGACTTGCCCGAGCCTCTTATTCTCATCGTTGCTCTTCAGATATACGACGCAGGGTCTTTAAGCTTCGCGAACAGCTGGCGCGTGCATGCAGGAGTATTGGACGACCACACCTCCTGCCAAGTTCGGCATGGTAGGGTATCAATCACCAATGATTTTTATTCCCTAATATATTTGTTTCTTTAGTCTCGCACTACTATTCTATCACGTTATGTATCGAGTCTAATATGCCTTTTGTTTGCCACCAAAAGCACTGAGTGACGCTACATGTAGTGAATGAGGCCCAAAATAGAAAGTGATTGTTTGTCAGTGACTTTAAGTACTAAAGACCTTAGAAGCTCTTCACAACATTCACATCTTTCTTCAAACTCTCAAGGACAATGGAAGAACTGCAACCCTCGCATTCAGATACATCCGTCTCCATGATGGGGCTGTCAATGTCCCGCAGTGGAGGCACTTCTAGCTCAGCCCTGAAACGTGGGCCCCCTTCCTCATTCGAAGGACTTGAGGACGAGACGAGCAAGAAGCGGTTCAAGGAGGATTTGGGAAATGAGCCAGATATTGAGAAGTCTGTCGCTAAACCATATTATGAGGCCCTAGCAGAGGATCTTGCTCAAGAACTTCAATGCGGTTGTTGCACTGAGCTGGTGTACCGACCAGTGGTCGTATCCCCTTGTCAGCACTTCTTCTGCGGCAGGTATGGCTCTTTCAGAATGTAGTCGTATACCAATGCTGACCTCCGTCAAGCTGTTGCGTTTTGTGGATTCGTGTGAGTTTTTGGTCTACAGTCGTTCGTGGCACACCATGCGCTCACCCGACACATCGGGTAATCATGCTGGCTGCGCGCGCTCATTCTTTGCCCATTTTTGTGTTGTCGCAGAGCTATTGATCTAACGACTGCCGACTCTAGAATGGAGGTACGAATTGTCCTGCATGTCGAGGGGTATCCACTATCGTTACACCATCACGCCCACTGCAATCGATCGTCGATATTCTTTTGCGTGCTGATCCATCACGAGAGCGCGCTGAACGAGAACGAATTCAAGCGGATGAGGTATACAAGGCTGGATGTTCTATGAGAGTGCGTAGTTCAGGGACTCAGTTCATTTACATGTCTCAAGCACGTGTTTTCTAGATCCCAACGCCACGAGAGGCGTCCCCGGAACCCAACCTGAATCAAAACGCGGATTATGTTCGCCCTTGTCCTCATTGTGCGCCTGATAATGCATTCGGTTGGAGGTGCCCTCAACCCGTCATCGATTACGGCGTCGATCCAGAGCGTGCGTGGCACTTGGATGACGGTATGTTGCGTTATTCCTTTCATTACTCAAGAGTTATCTTAATTGTTTGTATACTCTAGGTAATCCGCCTGGTCATGCGTTTTGCGGAAACTGGTATGTGAATGCCACTACCCCCTCGACTTTCTCTTACTTTGGCTATTAGCGAAAATCTTCTCGCCTTGCGCGCTCCTTCTACAACAAAATGTGACCTATGTCAGGTCTCATTTTGCGGCGTTGGTGTACCAGGGCGTTGCTTGGCGGCACCTCTGCTGTCTCAACACCCTCACAATATGTCTGACCTGGGTGATCTCATCCAATCATCTGAAGTTTATGGATGCTTCGATCATAATACCGTCGAGGTCGATATCATGCTTGATTACCTGACCGCTCAAGAAATATCACCTCGGCATATTTATCGCGAGGTTAGTCATGGTCCTTTTTGATCACGACCCTACATAATTTTGACGCGGTGTAGGTTGCATCACACATCCTCTCCCAACCTAATGGTTTCCGCCCCCTGATAGAGCTCGACTTGTTCGTGGATATCCACAGCGTCACCGCTGGGATTGATGAGAATCCAGATGCGCCGAGAAATAGGATATGTAGACAATGTGCTACAGAAGTCATGCTCTGGGGTATCAAGGACTGGTGGATACGAGAAAGGCAGAAGGGTTTTCTCCAGGAAACTGTGACGCGTCGACCTGACTGTAAGGAAGGCACCTCCTGCAGCAGACAGAAAGATCTCGGTGAGTGGATTGTTGTTTGGAGAAACATGTTCAAAGTTCACTCAACGCTGGCTACAGCGCATGCAAGGGAATGTAAGTTCCAGATTGACCCCTATTTATTCTCTGTCCTTGTACTAATGCTTTGGCTTCCAGATAATCACATCATCGCCCCCCGTTTTTCGGGAGATTCGGTCTTTTCCACCGATGCATCAATGACAGGTACTCAAGGCAGCCCACCCGTCTTTGCTGCCATAACTGCCGATGCCGCTAGGCAATTAGAGCCGGAGATGGCGGAAAGTCGAGGCAATGCAACAGTGACAGATCTCCCTACAAACTCCTTTCTGATTGATGGACTATGAGGATCACCCTTTCCCCTCTTCACCTTAGTAACTACAACGAGCTTAATACTGTGACGGAGTTCAGGTTGCATGTGAAAAAATCTTCACCGTGATTATGGCTAGCTCAGATGTCATTGGCACCACGGATTTCATGTCTCCCTTTCTCTTTCCAATTCTAATAGTCATTTTATCGTTATCTTCACCTCAAAGCCGCTGGAATGGGTTTCCAATAGGTTGGAGAACTAATCCGGTACATTGCGTGGTACATTAATGACAGATAGGACGACGTTGTAAATGTATGCAAAATGAACATGATATATATATACGATAAAATCCAGGACCAAGTAAGGATAGCGGAAAGCAAATGAAAACAACAACGGTAATCAAAGGGCGCCCAAACCATCGTACATAGAAATGTCACCATCCCAATGCCGTCGAACACGGCCAAATGACCGATGGGAGTGCAATGATTGCCTGTCCAGTGTGGCAACTTTGCGCCGTTGGCGCTCCTTCAACTCCTCCGCCAATCTCTCCGTCCTGGCCTTGGACTCAGCTTTAGCCTCGGCCTTCTTTCGTTTCTTTTCCTCCAATCTCCGCGCCTTCTCTGCTTTGCTGTCTTCCTTGCGAGCAGTTTTGGATGTTACAACGCTCGCAGTTGGTGACTCTGACCACGCGCTTTCAAGCACGCTCGGAGCCTTGCCACTGCTCGTGACCGGAGAGAGGAAACGGTTCGAAGAGTATGGCTTCGTAGGGTGAGGGCTGGTCATCGATGTATAGACACTTGTCGGGGAAAAGGTGCTGCTCATGGGTGAGCTGACATCAAAGGTCGAAGAAAGTGCAGGTGATATGGATGGAAAGCGGTCGGTGGCTGCGGGTTGAACATTGACATTGAGTCGCAAGTGTTCTACATTGAACACGCGACCCTTTGGTCGCGTATCAGGAGTTCGTGTGTTAAATGGCTTCCGTAGTGACTGTGTTGTGTAATCGGGTGAAAAGACGACGCTGCCCGAGTCAGAATAGTGAAGACCAGTTATGTCCTGGTCTTCAGCTGTTCGCTCCTCGATGATGGTGAGCTGTTGGTTAGCAACAGCCGGAGGATCAACGGGAGTTTGGAGAGTGACAGGGCTGGTAGGAGGTGATGCATTCGAGCTGAAAGACGTCGTCGAAGACGATAAGGATGGTGTATCGCTGTCGCTGGCACTTACGTGCCCGTTGCTAGCACGTGATCGCGTCCTTGAGCGGCGCGGAAGGTGGAAAGCAGGGTAGGAGGAATTAGGAGAGCCAGAATAATCATCTGAGATATCAAAGTCTGACTCTGAGTAAGTGGCTGAGCTGGTCATGGAATGGGATCCGAAGGAAGGCGAAAGAGGTTCTTCGTGCTCTAGAAGAAGATACGGCATGGTAGGAGCCTTTCCGGCAGTGTGAATACCATTGCTGGGATCAAGGAAATCATCGACATCATCTATTGCGACCCCAACGCGCTCTTGCTCTTCAGCATAGCTCCGTGGATGCGATATTGCAGGCGACAGGAGGTCGGCTACGGCGCATATCTCAAAGTCCGTATGTGCCGAAATGATACTGAACGTTCTGTTGTTGCGTGCCATGGATCGTTTCCGTCGCGGCGTTAACGTAGAGTCAGAAGGTGTGTTCTTATGTGAAACCTGTATTACTTGAGAAACTGTCGCAGTTGCGGTGGCAGCCGAGTTTTGACATGATGATGATCCATTACGAGTGGGAAAAGCTACATGATACCCAAATCACAGGATTAGAATGCTTCATTTTTACTCACGGTCTTCAAAGCATCGCTTACTGGAATTAGCTGTGAAGCCTCTTGTTGTCGAGCCAGTACTGCTCTGCTGATCGAGAGAGCTAGATAACTTTGCGTCCGAGACACCACCGCCACGGCTGTGACTTGGTGTAGGGACAGTATCGCTCGAACGACCAGGGTTATCGCTGTCACTGGGGTCAGGGTTGCGACCACCGCCTCCGTTCTTACTGTCAGCGCGGGAACGACCAGTCCTTTTCTGGCTGTAAGACTAGGAGTTGGAAACCATGTCAGCTCATGACAAGAGACCCTATCGTGTTCGAAATATTCACCATAACTGTCTTGAGTGCCCTGAACGGAAAAAAAAAGTCAAAATATGCTGTCGAGAGGTTCTGGATAAACAAACCTAATTTGAAGGCTCCGACAGCTACACAGTGTTGCGACTTCATACACACCTACAGAAGTTGAATTGGAAAGAGCCCGATGCATCGCATGTTTTACAAGGGATTCGAGGTGGTGGATTTGGTAAGTACTCGAGAGGATCAGCAATTGGCTCAACACCGCAGGTGCGTGTTGAAGAGGAGTGATGAGCGCTAATGAATAAAAATACTGCAATAACGCGAGCGTGATTGGATAAGGTTCGGATAGGTTGAAGGCGCGTGGCGTGAGGCGTGGGTCTGGACGCGCTTCCGAGGACCCTGGTGCGCCAGGGAGGTCCGGAAGCCCAACGTCCATGGAAGATGATGGTAAGATCTCTATTGCCTGTTGGGCCCGCGCCAAGAACTTGTTCCTTTGATCTTTGAACCAGGGCCAACGCTCCTCAAGAGTCTTCCTCGAACATTTGACTTTGCGCCCGTCGTCACAAATGATGTCAAAATCAGCAAGAATACCCTCTTCCAGGGCTGATAATCCGAACTCCTGCATTGGTATATCAATTTGCAGAGGTGGAGGCTGATAGATTCCAAACGACTCCAGATCAATGACAGCAACGTGATCCCAACTGAGAAGCCGGCGATTGTAATCTTCGATGAGGTTGCCATTCCGGTTTCCGAAGATCATAAATTTATTCGCCTCTGCCCACAAACAGGCACGAAACCAGGAGCCAGTCGCCATGGCGCTCCCGGAGTCAATACGTGACCAAGTCATGGTCAACATGTCTAACGCCCAGATAGAATAGGATTGGTATGTATGCGCCAGGTACGTGCCAGCAATGATGAAGTGCGTGCCCAGAATAGCACCTGAAGGAAAACGGAGTCCTGGAGGGAATGACGTGCCTGTCATATCTGTGGAACGATCTGTGATTGTGAAATCTGTGTCTGGCATTGGAGAAAAGACCTCGAATTCCCGCTTGACGTCTGTGAACTTTGCGACAAATGACATCAGGCCTAAATGAAGCGGTCACGACGGTTAACAACTTACGTTATAATTGCTGTACAGATACATGTCATTCGGAAAGTTGTCAGTTGGGGGAGCTGAATACGGCATATGGACCAACGAATCGGATGAGGTGAATGCTTGAGCTGAAGGAGGGGACTTTTCGGGCCGAAATCGTGCCCCAGGGGGACCTAACATGGTGGTTGTATCCGTCGAGTGGACTTCCTCCTGCGGTATTCGGACGCGTTGGTTTGCGGAGACGGCTACACTACGATAGGTACCACAATGGTGGGGAAAGTTTCGGCGTTGAACCCAAGCTCTACCCAATAAATCGTACACATAGATGTCATCCAACCAGACATTCGATAGGTCTTGGCCTCCGATGATGAAAAGACGATCGGATGAAACAGATGATAGATGTGCATATCGGGGCTTTGGAACCAACGTCTCCGTGCCAGACTCCGCAGAGGCGCTGTTAGTAGCTGTTGCGGGAAGCCAGCGCATTACTGACAAGTCGAAGAAACGGACGTCATTGAGTACACAAAGGTCTTCTGGATTACTAGAGTTCGGTGTGCTGCCCATACCACCGAAGACAATCAGTTGATTGTTCCCTTATGATAAATCCAATCTGCATAAGAGCTGGGCGACAATTAGCCAGGTGGGGAAACTCACAGGTCTCTGTGCTATGGAAATATCGTGCGTCCGGGATATCATCCTCTGGAGATGGTGCGATTCTCTCCCAGACGAAGGTCTCCAAGTCGAACACATATAGATCCGAGACCATGCGGCGTTCTGTGACTAGGCGCCCACCCTAATATATGATGCATTAATGAGAAAGGACGATAGAGACCAACTAGCAACGCACGAAGAGATACATCTTCGATCCTACGACTGTGGTAGACGCGCCCTATAAAAAGATGACGAACAGTGAACGAGTAGAGGGAATGGATGCATACCACAAGTTTCGGAGGGACGTCACCGGTCGTCTTCCGACAGAATGTTGTCAAGTCGGATATGGAGTGCATTACTGAAAATTGAATGCGTTTGGTGGACGACTAGGCAAGATGGATACGGGACTAATGCGTTGTGGAGGTAAGAGAAGAGTGAAAACCAGGAGATGAAGAGTTGATGAAGACCTCTAAGAAATCATTTCGCTGGATGTATCTCAGATCCTAATCGGAACATGCCGGCAATCTCAGGCACGTGGTTGTCCTATTTTCAGGTTTCTCTCGAAGCTTTGAAGCAGAACTTTCCAAAGTTTGGCTAACTACTACTAGCGTTTACGTCGAAGACCCGACTCGTTTGCACTATACCATTCGAGGATCGCTCACCAATCCATCAGACATTATCATTCTGATCAACTCAATTCCTTGTTTGTGTCAGCTCCAAACGCCGGGATGAGTAGTAGCTGTGCATCATCTGCCAGCGCACACAGATAGTCGCTACGAAATCAATCATGAAACCAGTGGTCACCTTCATGGACCTGCCCAGGGCCTCTGTTGGATACGACACTTCAATCCCTCAGTACCTTTCCCTCGTCGATTACAAATTTAGTGGTACTCCTGGCCTGGAACCTCCTTGGCCGTCCAACCAGCGATATCAGACTTGACAGCTCTAGTACTTTCATGGTACCTGGTTGATAAGTATCTAGTGGTATGTTGAAGTGTGTCATCGTGGGCACCGTTACTAAATGTTTGTACTGGGGAGTCCCTCGGCCAAAAGGCGCCAGTCAACGGAGATCAGTGCCTCGTCACCACTTTAGTAAAGCGCTTGCTCGGGGAAATCAATTCTAATTGTTCTTGGACCAGTCACACACAAGATCGAGGGTCAGGGCTAGGTAAGTACCATTAGGCAATAGCCCCCCCACTACGGCCCGATGAAGTTATCGAAATCCTATCTTGCGCATGTTGGGGGGATCAAGGTTCATTATTTCCGCTTTCGCGGGCCGACTAGTAAGAGGCTACTAAGAGCAGCTAGCTGGCGCCCATAAAAAACGAGAGGTAGCAACCTGTGACAACTGAAGGGTCATATACTAGGTTGGTAACTGTTCCTGCCCTTACTATTGGGGGAAATCGGTTAAAACGAGCTCCAGAAATTTTTGGTCGCATCCTGCTGGCAACAAGCTTGGATGATAACCCCTGTGTGACTCCTGTGCTTGTCAACGTCTAGTTTGCCGGGGATCGTTCGACGTGCTGTCAGACGACTATGCCAAGCGAGCGCCAAGTTCGCCGCCTTCTTCATCAATTTGTTGCTGTGCCCGAGGTAAGCCTATCTGTGTTCTCATCATAATTAATTCACAAACTTACATCCTGATTTGAACAGACGCCAAGTTAGCGAGCCCGTGAGTCGAGCTACTCCTAATCGAGAGTGACTGACGTGCCAGCCTATCTTTGTACATAGTCGCACGTAATCAGAAGGGAAGTTCGTCTCGTAAAATCGTTCAAACACCAACAACGTACGTATGCCACGGGTAATTTTGGCCACCCACAGAGTTGAAAACTCGGTCGGTAAGAGTATAATCTTACAGGAAGCCAAGTGAGTTGCGAGCATCGCAGACATCTTCACTTATTTCGAGAGGATCCTTTCAAGGATATTCCACCAACCTCGGCAGGTGTTCTATGAACCCGAAAAAGATTCTAACTGATTGTGAGATACCTGTTCATCGATAAGATGGATATGCCGTACATGATGCATGGGGTATTCGCTTCAAATCGGTTCGCGATGTTGTTGAACGTTAAATTTTGTTCATTTACGCCTTCTCGCGCTCGCCTGGTGTTCTCCAGAATATGATCGTAGTACTATTAGAGAGCTTCTCGCATGACGCTGGATAGTCTATGATCCGCGGTCGCCATATAGTCGGCGCGTGAATCTCGAGCTCTGCCCTGCAGCTGGCCGTCGTCGGTGTTGGAGAGCAGTAAGGCCCATCTGCAAATCTGAAGTTTGATAGAATAACACGTTGTGTGGGATATAATTGGAATCGGTGAACTTCGACAGTTGATACCAATTGCCCAGTCCTCTCGCACCAACTGACCTGCCAAGTGGTCAACGAAACAACTACGAAACATCATGCATTGTGGACCACAAAGGACGTTGATTTTTCAAGTCAAACGCCATTTGAATCCCAGATGTTACTCAAATCGACCATGTTGAATTCAGAATAGGCACTATCCTTGACAACGGTCGAATTCATGCTCTTGACCCGTACCATCACCTCCGTAACACCTCGCAGATTTATCCCGGTGGCATCATCGTATTCTTTTTGCCTCCCTTCATCACCTTCGATCTACAGTAGCTTCTCTCCATCATTCATGTCCTCAGTCTCCGTTACAGAATCAGCAGATTGCCTTCAAGTCCAAGGACATGTCCAATATGATACCCCAGATCATATCACCCCATCAAATGTCCACACATCTCCCCTAGAGCAATTTCATATCTGGTTCAACCAAGCCCGTGAAGCCAATGTCCGCGAACCAGATGCCATGACCCTCTCCACAGCAACAGCGTCGGGTATACCTTCTTCGCGCATGGTGCTCTTCAAGCAGCTAGACAAGCAGGGCTTTGTTTTCTATACTAACTATACTTCTCGCAAGTCTCGAGAACTGGAAGAGAACCCTCAAGCTGCCCTGCTTTTCTTTTGGCGTGAGATGTCTAGGCAGGTGAGGGTGCTTGGCAGGGTTGAGAAGTTGTCGAAAGAGGAGAGCGAAGAGTACTTCAAATCCCGTCCTGTCGGCACTCGTTTGGGTGCGTGGGCAAGTCATCAGAGCAACGTGATTGGGGAAGATTACCTGGCCAACCGATTGGCGGAGGTCCAGGAACGATTTGGAGTGCAGGCATCTGACAAAGAAGGCGACGTCCCATTACCTGATTTCTGGGGTGGATGGAGGATAATCCCCAGGTATGATTTTTTATTATTGGCTACAAGTCAATCTTACGTGTCGAAATTATACAGCGAAGTCGAATTTTGGCTTGGAAAGCCTTCACGGCTTCATGACCGTGTGCGATATCTTCGCGTAGAGGGTTCGCCCGATGACCAACCACGGTGGACGATAGATAGATTGTCCCCGTAATCTCCAACGTGGGGTTAGTAACGTGGACCGATACCACTCGCATGGTTAACACATATGAATTCCAAATATCGCGGCGAGCTGCGCATTGCGGCCTCTCCAGATGAAGTTCGAGACTATTTTCTGACACGATATTTTAAACAGAAGCCTATCGGGACTTTTAACTGAGTCCAGAATAAGCAACAAGAATTTTTTTCGCCAATGCGACTGTACAAATATACGCAGGAGAACGCGCCGAGGCAACTCCACTTGGATGGACCATGAGGCTGCCTGCCAGAATTACGAGGTTCTGAAGCTCATGAGATGTATATGGCGGGACGTCGCCCACTGTTGACAACTTCGAGGAAGGCCAGGCTATGGCTGTAGTGGGACTGTTGCAACACTGTTCTGTCTGCAGGATCTATAAGAGTTCATAGCATGACAAAAACATTGGGTGATCGCCAGATAATGGTCGATAACTGATCACCTTGATAAATCAGATCGAATCTACTCCTTACTCGTTCAGCCCTAGTGCGGAATATACAGAAGGATTCTCAGTGAACCATCATAATGAAATGCAAGTTACAAATTAATTGCCAATCGATAGGGTTTTATTGATATGGAATATTATACAAACTGAGAACTTGGCAGATGCGACGCTCGGGGACCATGAAACACTGAAGATTATTTCTTCGATGGCTTGATTGGTTCAACGCGCGGGACCTTCTCGAAATGAGCAGCATGTGCGAGAAGCATAGTGGGAGATGACCCATCGCCCTGTGAGTTGATGCGTCAGCTCGATATACACTACTTACTAAGATGGAACTGCGCACAATCATGGAGGTCGGGAACCCCGGATCAAACGGGAGAATGCTTTCCAAATACTTGATCTGTTCCGGGGACAAAGATATATCAAGCGCCTCGAGGTTGCCATGAAGGTGTTCGACTTTGCGCCCTCCAACAAGGGGAAAAACGTACGGCGTTTTCTGCATAAGGTATGCGATGGCCACTGCATTCCCCGTGATTAATGTATTTTTATGATCAGTGTAATGTACCTTACCAGCGGTGATGTGACTAGCCCCGACCTCCTTCGCTACCTTCTCTAACGCATGAGATACCTTTGTTTCATTTTCGGTGCGTTCCCAACTTGCGGTAAATATCTCCCTTCCCTTTTCTCCCGTTTCACGGCGGCTGTGCTCCTCCTCGTCTGTGCGGAATTTACCGCTGGCGAGAACGTTCCAGGGTGCGAGTGCCATACCTATTGAATATTAATTGAATAGGTCAGCTAATTAAGTATGACTTCTCGGCTGTACCTTCAGCCCGGGCCATGGGAATTATGTCGCGCTCGAATGAGCGCTCCAAAATATTCCACATGCCTTGATAGATCACGAAAGGGGTCTTCCCATAATCACGAGCGTATTGGTTTGCCTTGGACACAATCCAGGCAGGTGTATCGGAGATACCCTGATACAATGGTTTTTAATAACTCAATGATGTGACAGGGGCGTTTTATATGCGTTACCAGGTAGAGAACTTTTCCTTGCTGGACAAGGATGTGCAATCCGTTCATGACTTCCTCAACACTTGTGTCGAAGTCCCACCAGTGAAGATATAAGATGTCGATGTAAGACGTTCGAAGTTTCTTCAGGCTCGCCTCCACGCTGAGATGCATAGACTTGACATTATTTCCAGTGAAATTAACTTTCTGTGCTTCATTGGAGCCTCGTTTAAAACTGGTAGTGTACTGTTCAAAAGATAATCCTCAGTTCGAGAAAATCGTGTCGTGAAGTGTCGGGAACAACAAACCTTTGTAGCGATGACAAGCTGGTCACGAATGCCACGCTTTTCAGCCCACTCACCGATAATCTCCTCTGAGCTTTCGTCTTGGCTATGGTGTTCCACTTAGGGGTGTTCGCAGCCCAGCAAAATGGTGCTCACTAATTGTTCGCAGTGTCGATAAAATTCCCGCCTGCGTCGAAATACGCATCCAGCAGCTTCACCGAGGACTGCTTGTCCATTGCACCCATTCCGTACTGGTGCCATTTGTCCCCAATGGACATGGCTCCCAAGGCGAGTGGTGAAACGTGTACACCCGCAGTGGGAGCCAGGGTACGATATATGCCGAGCTTGGTAGGCGGTTTGGGAGCAAGTTGATAGAGACTCATGATGGCGACAAAGAGAATAAATTGTTCAACCCCTATGTCTGTATTGCTTATAAGCTCCGCAGGCGCCGATGACGCATCAGATCAGGACGAATTTCCAGTTATAGACAATCAAGTTAATGCAAGTCCGGTACAATGAACGGGTGAGTACTAGTACTAGTAGGTGAACAATTGTACTTCAAATCAAAACCGAAAGCCAAGTACATATATATATATATAACAGAGGCAGAAGAAGCAAGCCGGTGAGACGAAAGGTCCATAGTGTAAACTAATAATTCTTGAAACTTCAAGATATCCTGGTGATGCGACATCACTACTTGTCCGGAAGTAAGCTTTTGTTTGCATCGGCACCCACGTGTTGTAAAACGACTTGCCTATCATTACAAGCCACAGAAGCTCTCGGCTACCTGGGTGGCGGTAGCAGTGACCTTGCCCGCAGGGACACCAGTGTTGGCTGTCAATTCATCAAATGCCGGAAGGGACAGATCGAATGTAAACCCTGCATCAATAGCGGTAATGTAGATGCTCTCGGATATCCCAGTAGTGGTGTACTGCAACTCCCAGCAGGAACCACATAGAGGCGAATTCCAAGTGACATTTGGAACACCCCCAACATTGGGGAAAGACGGAAGAGAGCCGAGGGTTGTGAAGCCCTTTGTCAACAGGCCATTGGCACCGTTAGAGCAAGCGACATTGCTGAGGGAAGTGGCTGCATTGTCATAGAAGTTGTCGTAGGTGACTTGGACCTGCGTCGCGAAAGCAGGAAGAGCAAAGGCGGAGAGAAGCACGGCAGCGAAGGAAAGCTTCATTGTGCAATCAAATAGCTTGAAGATTGATTTGTTTGGAGACTGGGTTGTTAATGACTGACCTCTGGATATTCGCCGAGCTTTATATTCCGCCTCCATTGACAAATAGAGCGCGCGCAGCCAGAATTTGGACCTGGTTTACCACCTACGCATCAGGATGAAATGCAGCTAGACCGCAAAGGATGAAGGTCAATGGTGGACTCAAGTCCCCGATGACAGTTCTCAACCTTCGTACCTGCAAACCTGTGAGACGAGGCAGGACACGTAGCGGGACATGAAACCCGTTTTCAACTCAAATAGGGTAACTCGGGTGTTGGAGACGACGGTGTCATGTACTGTTAAGGGTTTTTACATAACACCATCATTACTGACTGCTGTCTCCGGCTTTGCAGTATGTTGCTATGTACATGGGCGCGAAATGAGGAGAGAATGACCACATGACCACGCGTCGAGAGCATAACCAACTCGATGTAGGACAATTCAGTCGTCAACAGGTGACAGTACATGTGTAACTTGCGTGCGGCAGCAATGTCTGCATTGATATTTTAGTCATCCTTGAATATCATCAATGAGCCAACCACACCTAAGTCTGCAGCAACCCTATCATATGAATGGACACAGCCAATGAACTTTGACATGGACAAATAGCGCTGTGCTGATCCGACCATGTGGCGTTTTTCAAGGCCATGTTTGCCCATATGAGAATTTTCGGCGCCCCTGACGAAATGAAGAAAGCACAAGACAAACTTGTTCAAAAGCGTCTGACAGTAAACTGATGAGCTTCGTGATAGAACATGTACTATGAGTTCAAATATGTTTCTGGTATGCTTCATCATCGTAATTTTGCGACGGACCTGAGTCATAGCATCTATTATTTTAAGAGATGAGTTCTAATATTTCAGGCTTCAAGCTTGCATTTCGCTACGAGCGAGCGAGCCCTGCCCCTGGCCTTAAACACAGATTTTGCACCAGTATCACCCTTTACCCACTTCTGCATAGCAAGAATGTGAGATGAGGTAAACGAGAAAGAGGAGAGTTGGCAGAAACCTCGTTAGCGATGACATTGACTGCGTTGAGGGACCTCACTGAATCACGATCAGATAGACCACCGCACAAAAATATCAGTTTAGGATAGGGCGGGCAGGAGAAAGCAGCGAAGGTTTTGCCTGAAAGGAAGACGACACCTGAGGCTACTGCGATAGGGACTGGACAAGAAAGGATTGTAGCAGTGGCCAGGCCAACATCCTCAGCTGACGTAGTAGAATGCGAAGAGTGCTCGAGGGTTGCGGAAAGTAAGGCTTAATAATAATAAAAAACAATTCAATTACTGGCGACTGAACTCCTCAGAGGCGAGAAGTGCTCTTACCCTCCAGCAATACACCGTATACAGCGTCACATAAAACATATTGATTATACTCGAGTGGACCCAATGCTCTTCTTGAGGTCTTCGGCGAAGTCAACATCAGGTTCCACGATGGCCAGGACTCAGAACAGCTTGTTTACTGATAGCGGCACAGCGAGAAAGGATTTCAGCCTGAACTTCAAGATCAGCCCGAGTGGGTAGGGATGATGAATTGCAGAGGATCGATGCATGCCATTTGCTGCGACGGGCTTCAGCTGCTGCTGCTCGCTGTAGACGAGATAGAAGGTCATCAAGACCCTGAGTAGTACTAGGTTCTAAGAATTCGAAGGAGAATGCGCGTCCATGTCAGTACGAATGCCGGGAATGATACCCCTGTTCGAAAGCCTAGGGTCAACTAGAAGTCGAGAAGGGTCTCATAGTAGTATGAGATGTGATGCCCGAAATATATTCTGTGTAGAGCGAAGACTAGATCAGCCTGATAAGCTGAAAATTTTATGATAGACGCCGGTACTTGCCAGGAAGAGATTCGTACAGCAGCTCTCCTAGGCTCCACTTTCGAAATTCCATACTCAGTAATTCTGTTAAGACGCCTGTTTTTTTTTGTCGAGGTGCTTGGCAAGTGCGCAAAGTAATGCAGAGCAAGATACTCTGGCTTTCCAAGTGTCGTGGAACCTTGAAAAGCATAAGTTGTTAAGAGACAGAGACATTCAATGTGTGATTGTCGTGAGGAGGAAGCACACTTGGAACCGCTTGAAGCTCGAAGAGTACCTCAGTTTGGTGGCTGTGATTAAGTCTATTCGTCATGTTCACAATCAACCACTTTCGACTAACTGCATTGGCCCGCAGAACACCGTCTATACGTTCCTATTCAAAAAAGCCCCAAGTAATTCGACCAACTCCGAGTCAAAATCAGAGCGCTGAGCAAGATGATGGAGACTTTCGTCCACCATGGGTGTACTCCGCGTCCCACATCCTCACCTATACCCTGATACCTAGTGAGTTTTCACGCTGTCGCGGTTGGCTGATGACCACGATGAACTTATGCATGATGATTAGCTGCTATATTATATTGTGTCTTCCTTGCTGATTGGGGCGAGCGGGAACATGTCTTCTCGCCGGTATGTGTCTCATCTAGCTTTTTTTTAAAAAAGCTCACGTCTTACTTGTGATCTTCCAGGTGCGCAGATGGACAACGAAATACAAGGAATCTTTTCTCTCTCTTTCTCCAGACGAAGCCTCCTTGATTGAAGAGTCACAACCGCCGTCGACCACAGCACTACCGGTTACAAGAGAAATCCAGGCAGAAGGTCGTCCTTCATGAACGATGTATCTTCGACTTGCTGAAGGATGCAGTTCGTTTGCCTTTGGATCTCAATATCCTACCTAGTAATGATGAGAGAGGGCCATATGTTTAGAAGCCACCTTGTGGTATTAGTAGTATTTTTGGTAGACAAAAAAAAAAGAGATAGCGTCTTACTTTCTAAGAATTACACTCAAGTTCGCGAGAGGAAATGAAGAAATGATGGTCTGTGGCTAGGGTGCAGTTTGATACCTTGATTAGCGTTGTCGGTGGCTTACTTGCAAACCTTGATGCGAAAAACTGTGCAGCACACGGAACCATGCAAACGGCGAGCACTCCAGCTCCTCAGTACCATCCAACACATCCTCCAATACAAAATGGATACCAGCCCCTCACAGGTGCGAACAGATGTCCTGGATTATCAATTGTATAATTAAGCCTAACTTAATGACAGAATCTGAAATTTATGCCATCAAACGACAGTACTTGGGACTACTTCCTCCACTACAGATAATAGATATCTGTCTTACATTCGAGGCTCATGCGCCCCTTCATGTAAAAAGTACCGTGTGGCCGTATGATATTCGAGCTGCAATTGCAGCGATCCAGGCCCAAAATGCACAGATCTCTCAGCATGCACCAGCTCAACCATCGAGCCCTCCAGTGGATTCTGGGGATCAATCTAAATCCACACCAGCACCAAAGGATTCGCCTTCGGATACAGGAGATAAAACTGCTTCATCTTCTTCCGAGCAACCGCCAGTTCCCTCTGTAACGCATGGCCCGGCCTCTGGTAGTGCGACACCCCACCCGTCTGCGGCAGCTCACCCACACCCACCGCCACAATCCCTTCCGCACTATCCACATCAACCCTATTATCATCCTTCCTATCCGCATGCTCCCTACTATCCTGCGCCACCCCAAGCACACTACAATTTCCCCCATCCATTTCCTCCTTACCCTCACCCACCTCCAGCTCAATATCAACCAAACCCGCCTCCACCGCCTCCGTCAAGTCATGCACCACCGTTATTCACGAGCGCACCTTTAGCACATCCCACTCATCCCTCAGATTCACCCTCATCAAATAACGTCGATGACCTCCCCAGTTACGAAGAAATGATTGTAGAGGCACTGATAGATTTCGGGGACCCAGAGGGGTGTGCACCAAAGGCCCTCTTTGGTTGGATGGCGTCGCATTACCCGTTACAGTCAAATTTTAGGCCTTCAGCTAGCCAAGCCCTCCAAAAGGCCTTCAAACGCGGGCGTCTAGAAAAGGGGAATAATGGTAAATACAGATTGAATGTCAACTGGGAAGGTGGGAATGTAAGCACAACACTTTGATTTTTGTTGCAACTTCTAACGATGTTATCCATCAGACTTCCAAGAGAACTACTCGTCGTCCACAGACTCACGCTCAAACTGCATTGTCTGCCCATCAGGGACATGCATCATCATCACCTTTTACTCATATTCCCCTTGTCCACGACGCAGACGCCGGTACATCATCATCTCAGCCGCATGCCTCCGCACAAGGACAACCTGGACATCCTTATGGCTTTGGTTACCCAGGGCCGTCCACGTCTGCAGCAAATCATCGCCCTCAGCCTGCTCCGTCAGAAACACAAACTACCGAAAGCCAGATTCGAGAAGGCAGCGATGCTTGGGAAGCTGCCCAAAACATTCTCAAAGCCATAAATTTTGGACAATTGTTTCAAATCTCCAACGAGGATGGAGCGCCAACACATACAGATTCCGCTGCGGTGACTCAAGCACCACCTCCGGTATTTGCCGGTTCCGTCGAGGTATCGTCGACATTTGATAACCAACCAAATTCGACGATTACGAGTACATCTATGCCATCTCGTAATACCGAGATCTTATTACGCACTGAGTTAAACAGCGATGAAAGGGCAGCACTGCAGGCTGAGCTTGCCCTGTTAGCCGCTCAGCTGGCAGAGTTTGCAGATGTGAGCGAAGACGAGTTAGCCCAAGACCTCAACCCTCCCAGAAGCATCGAAGAGGGTTATGTTTCCGTTGCGGCTACAAAATCACAGGATTCTTCTGATTCCACCCAACCTCCTGCGGACCAGATGAACAGTGACGATGACGACGACGACGACATGGACATGGTTGAAGTACACGTGCCAATGGCGTCGCTGATAGTGTAATTATTTTTTGTGTTTTTTGATGCTACCTGACGGAAATATTAATGATACTGTAGTTTTGAATGATTCGATGATTTTCCTCCAGCCCTGTAATGCCAATACTATCCCTTTCCTCGAGGCTCTGAAAGGATGTTCTGTGCCAGTCGGGGTTCTCCGACGTTGAACTATAAGTAGGTACGAACTTTACCCTGAACATGGAATCAAGCATGACTTTCGATCCATCGATGATGATATCAGGTGTTATGCACTGTGGGAGATACTTTGCGTGATCATGAGCAATCCTTGGGTGGTATTTGTGTGATCCGGAAAAGTTCTTGCCATCTAATAAGTTACGCGATTTCGTTCCTCGACTTTCCGAGTTGTTAACTTTTTCTTGGAAACTCAAAACCGATGAACACTTAACTAATAACCTACCCTCTCGTCAGTCCGCAAAGGTCCGTGATTGGTCAACGTCACTGAGTGGTAATTGCAGTTATTGATTACGTGTAGTGTGACTATATACCCTGCTGACCCCTGTTGTCATCGTACATATAAGACAGTTACTAAAGTGGTTCAAAACTAAGGGTACGTGGTTTTACTATCCAAACATCGCCCACCCTCGATTGCGTCACTGAAACTACCTGTAAGCTTAATTTGTGTTATTTGGTGCCGCGTTTCAGATGACGGGCCACGGCTTCCAGCGCAGTGGTTTAAGGGACCAATAGCATCGATCATCAGGTCGATCACGTTTATCCCGTGAACCACTCGGTCACGGGATTCACACATATGGTTTTCTCCGTCAATTCTCCGTACCACTCTACGTCTCGACCAGACTCTATATCAGGACAAATCTGCTTTCAACGGCAAAGTTCCTCGATAATCCTCGTTAGCTCCACCAAATCTTACAGGCGCTCACCTGCCAAATGTCGACGTCATGACACTGTTGAATGGCGCAGGGTGCAAGAGTGTGGTCATGTGCAGTACCGCTAGTACATTCGTATCGTTCCAAAAGAATCCTCGGTCTGGTCCATCGGCCGAGAGCCGTAGAATGTATTGGCAGCCGAAGAACGAACTCGCTTTGTCCAACTCTAAACGCGATCGATAGCGCCATACCTCCGGCAGGAATGCGTTACTACCGGCAGCACGGCGCTTTATTGTCATAAGGGGGTGCAGTCAATAAGAAGTGTTTCAACCCATCGTATGAAACTCTGTCTAGACTTCGGAGCTTGTTGCCACACCATTTATTGCAACGCACCACCCTGCCGGTCAGCGGGAACAGACGAGATCTGACGCTGGTGGCAAGCAGTATGAACACACCATCTAACGCGAACGATCCCTTGCGAGCTGAGCTAGATAGGCTCCAGCAAATACTTGAAGAAAATCGGGCAAATTGTGCTGAAGCCAAAATGCGACGAGAGGCGAGAGCTGCTGCTGAAAAGGATGGCGACAGAGGATGGGACCCGTTTTATGCGGAGATACGGGGAAAACTTGATAGCCTGATGAATGATTCGCGCGAAAATAGGACATCCCGTAAGCTGAAACGCGTCAATTTCCTGAATCTTTCGCTTCATCTCTGATATCGAGTAGATATACCGATGGAAGTTCTCTTGGAAGCGTCTCGACAAGTTCATCACGAGTCGCTGGCCGCTATCGGGACTTTCGCAGAAGGTAAAGCAGGCCCACACATTTAGGTCACCAAAGGCTGATCATCGGGACGATGCGATAATCAGAGCACCGGGCGCAACGAGAAGCCGAGCATGCAGAATTATGTCGCCTAATAGGGGAGCTCAATCAAAGCAGATGATACCATAATCGCAATCATGCACACCACGGATCTGACAAATATTTCCATTGCGAAATTGCGAAACGGTCCAAAATGCATGAACATACAATTGAGTGGATTGGTACAGAAAGACAGTCACAAATGCCGAAAGTAAGCTCGTACAGCCGCGTCATTTAAAAGTCATTAATTGATCTTCAACAATTCAACCTCAAATTTCAAGGTCGAGTGCGGTGGAATGACGGGCGGAAATCCGCGTGCTCCGTAGGCCTGAGATGATGTCAGACTGAGAGTTGATCTTCTTGAGATATTCACCCACATAATCGGAAGTTGCTATCAAGTTGGCCTTCTGACCGAGTGATAATTGCGGCACGCCTAATAAAACATTGAATAGGTGACAGAAAAGATGCGGAGAAGTGACAAACCTTCATCCCATCCCTTGATCACCTTACCGACACCTATTTGTGTCACAAAAGGCTCTTTACTATCGAGTACTGATCGTCAGCTATAATCACGGACAGGAGGTGCGATGCTTGCCGATCTCTGCTCGAATCAAAGGGGGTGCCATTTTCGAGTGTGCCCACGTAGTGAATCGTAACCGTGTCTGTTGCGATTTGAGGCGATCTTAGTTGGAACGCGTTTCGGAGATACTGTACATACCACCCCGTTTGGGGAACGTTTTACCGTCACCAGGAACGATTGTCTCAATACTGACGCCCTGTTTCGAGCCATTAGCGATGGAGGAGAATTACGGCGGAGACGCCGCGCGCTCACCATTGTACACGGTGACACGTACCAGGTGCGGGGAGATAGGTGTGATAGGGATTTGTGGCAGCACTTATAGTGGCGGGGAGGCGGAGTGCGGATCTTGATCCGAATCTAGTAATCCGCTAGAGTCGATAACATTGAACCCAATACAAGTGTTGCAGGAACGTTATCGATATCGGTTCAAACATCAACTATGATCAGCGCTCAGCCCCCGGCGGTACACGGAGTCTGATTTCCAGTGCAAGTCCCTCTTGATTTTTCGCTCGCATCTTCCCATGAAGTTCCTCAGTCATGGGTAGCTGGTTGAGCGCCATCGAGGCCATCGATCATAATCAAAGATGAGTGTCAAAGTGCCGCAAGTACGAACTGAGAAACAATTTGAATTCCAAGTCATCGATCGAGAGTCGAGGCCGTCGTACCTGTGCATAGGTCCCGACTTGTCTTATGCGGGGGACAGATAAACGTTCAGAGATATTGCCTTCACGCAGGAGGGAAAGAAATCTCTTTTCCTGTTAGTGAATACTCCTTGATTTATAGGTACGACGAACTACTCAGAAGCAACGAGGTGGACCGATGGTTCCGATATCCGAGCTGGATGCACAAATCAAGATAAAGGCGCAAGATATATCATTTCTGTTGAACAATAGGAGATCATCTCGCGATAGAAGACATCCCCAATCCACTTTGCCGATACTTCCCGACATAAGAAACTCTTCCGCTGGGCCGAACAGCGAAGGCTGTCTCCAACTTGTCGTAAGGCCAGCCAGTCACCGAACAGAGTGCAAATAACGCGTAGATCAATTCATGTGAAGTATGAGATGTTATAAGACTTGTCATTGCGACCGTTGACCTTTCAGTCACAGATATTATGAACAACAGAACATTTTCTTGGCAAAATCGCGAATGTGACTGAGAAGTACGGATGCTTGCATGCATCTAGGCCCGGTGGTGTGGTCGCAGGTCATGTGTGGTCGGAATACGGCCCGGCGAGTGCTGTTCGACAGAGATGACACGCTAGTTGAAGTGATTGAAAGGTAGGTATGATGAGCTAGTAGTGCCACTGGGTATGATATGGATGATAAATCTGCTCGAAAGAAAAACATGAGAAGTTACCAGGCCGAGGATCAACTGGCTGCATCTTGCGGCAGACTCGCTGAGGAGCCTATTGAAGCAAAAATTGCGAACTTCAACTGCATACCGTACATAGTAGTAAGTACTCGAAGAACTGGCATGACCTCGGACTTAGCAGGCGTGAGAGAGCTGTAAATACCACTAGCAAGCGCTGAACTTGAAATTAGTTTGGTTTTTAGAATCATTTTTTGTCCGGTCCAGGTGTGCCATGCTCGAATCAAGTAGCAGCGTCATCATCGGACTACCAACGGGGTAGAAACTCCCCGTTGTCCTCGAATGTTGTCGGGTACCGATTACAAACATTGCAGAATCTCTCGCAATCACAGTAAGTACTACATCATCGACTTGAAACCTAAAGGAAGCATGAAATGTTGACGACGATTGTCGATAGAAATATACTATGCAGACAGACCTAGAAGTCCTCTGACGCAGTCAACCTGCACTAATTTTGGTTGAGAAAGAATAAACGAAAAAGTCACATAAGTAACACCATGACACACTCGATGAAGTCTCAATACCACGCCAGATCGTCCGTGGGCCACGTTTTATGCCAACTTGAATAGATCCTCGCGTGTCACCCGGTTGGCTGTAAGTATATTTTCACCGAGATTTCTAGATTAAGATGGAGACAAGGCTTACTATCGTCCAGTGCTTAATACTGTTCTCGTGCTCACACACGAATCAGGTACTCCTGCTGTGTTATTATGCCGCATAGTTCCCTAGTTTCAGGCACCTCAAGCTCAAATTTAACTTGCCATTCATGACCGATTTATGACGTTTCTGGTAAGTACCTTTGCGCCTGCGGCCACATGAGAATTGACCGCACATGCGCTGTCATAGGCCGTCATCTCGTCGGCTTCCGGTACCCTGTGACGCAACGCTGGCGGGAAACATGTGTTGCAACGTTTTGCATCTTCTCTGGCAGGTACTCTTCTGTGCTCAAGGTCACTTACAGGTGTCGCCCGAAGCTTTTCTTGGCCCTGAAATGAGTGGAACGACTCGGGAACGGAAATCTCATTGAACTATAATCTAAAAAGAACTCAGACGCGGCGTCTGAGTATTCATGTTTTGAAGCGGCAACTGTTCACGGTCTTTTCAGCATTTAATTGTTGTAGCATCTAGATGAATCAACTGTAGAATTGAATTGTTGATCTTGATGTTGCAGCATGCTTTCAGTGTCGGGCGAAATCGCGCTGCGGCAAATCCACTCAAGGTAAGTACTGCCTTAAATATCCTGTCTCTAGTATGTGTTTCCGGTGTTTCCGGTGTCGTCGGTAAGTACCGCAATTCATGTTCTCAGTATCTTAGATCTCTACTTACCTCAAACCATCAACCCCACGCTGAAAGAGGTTCTGTTCGGCCATCACCGCAGGGGGTAGTCATGCCTCATGAATTTATCATTGGTCCTCGTCCACGCTATCGCACATCACAACAGGTTAGTGACTGGTAATGTACACGATCACCGGATACCTCAGGCCATGTAGCGTCATTCCGCGACGTAGCAAACGCAAGGATCGGTCTTTAATTGTTGTGTTCTGACTTATTGTGGGCAGTGATGTGTCTGTCTTGCTCGTCATACTACTTGTGAGTACTAAGGACCAGGCAGGGTGTATGTGCCTTCTTGTCACATTATCCTTACGGAAGTTTCCTGCAGCTAATATTGGATGTCCCCTCAGCCCGGATCTCAAATAGGCCTCACAGAAGCAATCACATGCATACGCATAGCCATCTCTCATGGTCTCTGCCTACAGTCACTATGCAATTAGTCTGCCCGATAACGTTTTAGGTTATGCACTTCCTTACCCACAATGCGCACAGCACTGTGCGACTGTGGTTCCTTGCTAGTGAAGCCTCTGTCCAGGTCACACATCGCGATACTCTTTACGGGCAAGTCAAAGCTATGGGATAAAAAATCGGACTATTAACCTTAGCGCGTACAGCAAAGTTGAGTTCCTTCAGGCTAGCTGGAATGCCGGGAGGGGTTTAATACGTCAGACTATACCTCACACGAAGAAGCGCCGTTATGTAACAAGGGAGACCCTTCATCCGAGTCGGTGTAATTTTCCTGATTCTGAAGTTTCCCCGCATTTGCGCGGCAATCATGGACGTGCATGTCAAGTCAGAATGTATTGCTTCTCCTATTTTGTGCAGCTGGGATCTTCTGCTCATTCCTTAGCGTCTACGCCAGGCACTGTAATATCCGTCCCGCTTGCTTTATGTATATGATATTTCCTAGACATGCAGTAGCAGGTCGCCACCAGCGCATGCGAAATGAGAGGCTAGTATACAATGCAGCCTAAGTAATAATCACCGCAACTTGAACATGCTGGTATCGCGGGCTTCCGTTATGGCATCCGCGGTTTTCTGCGTCCCTGTATCGAGTATCTCGCAGCCGCACGATTGACGCTGACGCGAGGAATATGGTGGAATATGGTTCTAGACAGTGACGTGGACAGGGAAGGGCGGAAGCCGCGAACTACGTTACCGCTGTCGTATCGGGCCGCCAGATGAGCGTTCATGCCCCAGACAGGCAAGTCATGCGCGACTTTGTGGAATGGTGGTGTCGGTATCACATAAAATATGTCAGGTTAAAAATTTATTCGCCAGCCATCGAGATGGCAGGTACTGGGAGCATCTGTTCTTGCTTGATAATCGCGGGCCTGCTGGGTGTATAACGCTCGGACGTTGTGTGATGTGTGCACGATCGTGGGGATGCGTATGAAACGTGTGGCATAACAGAGACTCGTAGAAGCGTCTACCCTGCTCACACGCGTTCGACGTCCATCGGGCTGAGTGCATTATCGATTGGAACAGAGTTAAAAGCATGGATCAAAGCACCTTCTATTACGGTTAGCAAAAAGAAAAAAAAAACACTTGGATGACATGACAAGCTCTGCAGGTGTATTTTAATCGTGGGCATCCCCCACATGCCTTCGCCGGCCAAGGTGAATGCAACCGCCCAGTTCCGATATCAATGAGTTGCCCCACGCTCAGTAATCTCAACGACATTCCCCATCCATTTCCGGAGAGGGGCGACCATCATTCCCATCCAGGAGAGATGGGGCTGTTTCAATATATGATCAAGTGGTTCAAAGAACATCAATTTCGTCGCATATTTCACGCCGGAGGTCATTAACATGTGCTTACTAGGGAACGAGTGCTGTAACATATCATATGCTGCTCAGATCGCGCGTCGCGCCCATTCCCACATGCGGGATAATAAGCTCCAGCGCAGACGTGTGGTCCCAGTCATATCCGGACTCCGGAGATCCGGTCGAGTGCAAAATCCTGTTTTCCAGCACCGTTCCGTTGATCGCATAATTGGATTAGTATCGAGTAGGTCTCACAGCATAAGCCGTGTCCGTCGTCACCGATTCAAAGTTGCTGCGGAGACAACACTGAGCGCTGTTGCGGCAGTCACGGAACATGATTAAACCAAGCGATGTTCCTGTGTCAAGAGCTGTGTTAATGATCCAACCAAGGTGGTGTATTGGGCTATGGTGCTGGCCTCCGTGCACAGGCGTAATACATGCATCCGGGGCGTGGGGTAATACTTACCTCTGAGGGTTGGGGTACTAAGGGGCGGCTAGTGTGTGATTCAGGTCTCTTGTCCCGGGATGGATTTACGCCCTCCCGTGACCGTCTCAGATGAGCAGGTGGAACGATCCGAAGGTGCGTTTCAAAAGGCAAGGACACTGATATTTGCATATGCATGTGTTTGTGTACTCGGAGCTTGGAGCACGTTGGAGTGGACGATGAGTCCTCCATTGCAGTCATAAATTTTGACTGACCGGCTTCTTGTTGATACGATTCCGTGTTTATTAAAGAGGGAGTTAACCGAATTACCCACAAAATATCATGATGCGGGCTAAGAAGCTCAGGGCCGACGGCGATGTGACCACAAGGTGTCTACTAGGTATAATGTTACTTCTTAGCTTCCGTGTTCCCATCTGCAAGAATTTCGAATGCCTCAGATAATTGTAACGTCCAGTACATGCATTATTGCAACAAGTATACAAGTGCTACTCACAACGGAACAACGATGCAAATGACAGCGAGAAAACATCGAAGACCAAAATACTGATAAGAAAATAAGACAGAAAGCAATTATGCTGGCCCGAGAGTGTACCCCAACAACAAAACTCGACCGAAACACAGAACACCAATTAGTCCCGTTGTCGTAGAATAATGCGTACAGTAAATGCGCAAATCTCATGTTACACGATGTACGGGCCCAGAAGAAAAAAAGCAGGAAAGGTATACACACAATACAATGGTATGGTACAAATCATTATTCAACTTTTGATATGGATGCGCGGTATTAGGCATGGTGGGGGTGGTGGCGCGATTCAGCAGAGTCGACGACGCGAGCGTTAGATGGGAATGTTGTGAATTGCGTGTGGTCATGATGCGATGAGAGATGCCGGTAAAGAATCGATAAAGTAATGGGTATGCGTCGTGAACGTGGCGGTATGGCCGTCGTCGAGCTGCGACCGTGCAAATACAGGGTATGATGGAATGTTCGAGAAACAGACAAGGACGGTGGCTGCGCGTGCCATTTAGGATCGTCCTACATGGATTGCTTCCTTGCCAGGGAACAGGAAGAGGCGCTTCAAGGTTTGGACAACTTCAACCTCAACTTCGACCTCCTTGACTTCGCCATCAACCATGCGCTGCTCGATGCGTTTCTCCTTCTTTGCAGGAGGCATCATCACAGGGTAAGTCTTGATGTTATCGTATGACCATGTGCGAGCTGGGGATACAATTGGTCACACAATTAAACAATCGTCAAAAGCATAACATACTTTGTGGTGCACGTCGGGACGAGGAACCAAGCGATTCAGATGTAGTATCACTCAAGATACTGTCTTCGCTAACTTCGCTGGGGTGCCGCTTCAAAGGTTTCGCAAGACGCTGCGACAACAGACCCATGCTCGAGTTGTTTCGAGTGAGTATAACGTCAGGAACGAGTAAACGACCCTCCGCGCCTCGTTTGAGTAGAGGACCTTCACGACGACGACGACCGGACGAAGATGTGGAAGTAGGAGACAGCGGAGGAGATTGTGCGGAGGAAGACGCCGAGTGAGGGAAAAGTGACATCCGTGACTCTGATCGGCGAGAAAGAGGAAGGGAATATTTAGTATACAACTCTTCGCTGTACGACTGACTCGAACGAGGAGGTAGGTTGGAGGTAGGACACTGCGCGGCAAGAGCACCAGATGAGTTTGATTGGGAAAGTGTCGAAGTCCATTGAACACCACGATGTGATGATGCTGCAAATGAGGTCTGGGGTTTCTGAGACCCAACCGATGCAGTGTCCGAGTGTTTGGGGTATCCACCATACACTGACTGGCGCCACTCATTGCCGCCGTCGGTCCAACCAGGAACTGTTTTTCTAGGTTGAGCCGGTTCGCTGTAAAACAGCGAAGGTTTTGGGCGTGGTGGGCATAATACCTCCTTGATGCGCTTGCTTGCCATCATTGTTCCCCCCTGGTAATCATTGTGATACTCGAGCTCCGATGCAGAGGTGGTATCGACCGGCGACAAAATAGGCGGTGCAGGAGGTAAGGGAGGGAAATCGTACAAGGCGGCGAGGGTAGCCATACTGCGAGAGACGGTGACCAATGGTGGGGAAGATGAAAACCCTGAATCAAGTGACGATCCGGAAGCACTGGTGGATTCGTCTTCTGATTCGCAATATCGCCTCTCGAAAGAATTATGAGGTACACGAGGAAGAGGTGGTGATGAGCGATCAGGGTGGTAATCGAGTGGGTAAGCGCCATTTAGTCTTGCCAAGTCTTGGAGACGACACTCATCCGAGCAGTAAAGAGGAATTGGACCCTGGTCAATGATCGTACGGTGCTTGACAGGTGCGACGGGTTGTTGAGGTTGAGGTGACGAGGCACGCCCTTTGTTTGCCGCTGTGGCTGAGTCTGATCGCTTTATTGCACCATTAGGTTTGACGCGACCTGTGCCTTGCAAAAGGCCATTCTTTGCGCGAACGGCGCCCGATTTCGTTCGGGAAGTGCGGGCAGTAGAGTCACTCTGTTGATTTTTGGACGCTAGAAAAAACATTTGAATGACTTGTGGCAGTGACGGATGACAGTTGACAAGACTTACGAGATGACGAAGCTGGAGATGGCGTGGGGACAGGCGTGAGTTCTTGAGTTTGTGGGAGGACGGGTACTGTGTATCGCTTAGGCATGATTTGCCTGTCACAGACTGGACACCAGGCTTCATCGAAGTGAGCATCCATGGGTGGTTGAAAGGAAGTGCGGGGAAAGGCGTGGGGGGATGATGGGTTTTAAATGCAGTCAAACAAAGAAGTTTGTAGGCGGTGTCTAGATGTGGACAAAAGGTGAAACACCAACAAAGGTAAACGTTCTAGACCAGATTTCAATGTAATGGAATGATGAACGCACGATGGAGAGCTGTGTGTGAAGAGTTGACAGCCGATGTACCAATGAGAATTGTTTAGGTCGCCGACGTTGAGGACGACGTTGAGGAAGAAGAGGAGGATGAGGAGAAGTCTGAAGTGAGGATGGGATTGGACGAAGAAAAGAATGAGAGGTCGGGGTTTTATTATTTGATTGGTGATTCGCATATACACGAAATGGACTACCCAATTGGGGATTGGAATCGCACCGAAATGCCGAATAATTCACTGTTGAAAAATATTGGAAATTGAGTTATTACTCTCAGTTATGTTTCGGCTACCTCGGATCCTCGGCTATGCACCCCCACATTGGGAAGTCGCATGCTGTCACGCTAAATGTGCTACCCCGTGTGGAACCCTGTGCACGTGGCAATTAGGTGAATCGGACCGTACACACCTATCCATTGGTTTTCTCCTTGTGGTAGGTCCGTCGTTCATCCAACCTGAAGTCTAATCACTAGCATTTACTAACAAATGTCGTCAATTTTTTTAAATTATTTTTCTAATTGGGTAGACGGACTGCGACGCCACCGGTACACCCCGTGGATACGTTACTTACGGGATCGGCAAACACCGATCGACTTATCTCAATGTATGTATACCATCGTTCGACTACCTGTAAACCGTGTACATCCATCTACATGCATGTACACAAACCTCATTGGTACAAGAGCTACCGGTTGTTTCAAACTGTAACAATCGCCCTGTGAGCTTGATCCGTCCGCGTCATTGGCCGGTCTCACCTGGTCAAACGGTGTCCAATCCTCACAATTGGTAATTCATGTTTGATAGACTACTCGGCTTTCTCCGACCGCGGGACACTGTCCGACTTCACGCTCTCCTTCGGCACCTTCAATATTTAAACCTCTCAACATCGACATCAGCTTGTCTTTCGGTGAGTTCCCGAGTTGCGCCCTCGCGTCTCGGGGTGGATTCCCTCCCCCGTTCATCTCACAAGTAGTCCACTTGACCTTTTCAGGTCAAACCGAAGTAGTCGGATTACGAGTCAGTCTTCGGGCGATGCCTTTGCTACATCCAGAATCAATTCCTCCGAGGTTTACGTTCGCTCGCTCGTGAACATATGCGATCCTTACTATTCGGCGTCTCAGCGCTCAAACTATAGTAGTGTCAGTCATTGCCATCATGAATCCTGTTCTGTTCATCTCATCTGTCGCCCTCCCCGCGGGGCTCTCCGCCGCTGAAGCAAACTAGTATGGGGGTCCCACACGGGCAGTCATCATATATCATTCATTTGCGCCCGTAAATATTTAAAGGTACACGGCAACTTTACTAGGTACTCCTATAGGTATCATCAAGTGTTGCAATCGAAAAATAGGCACCTGCTGTGTTTACTGAGGTACCACCGTGAGTTTATCCTCCTACATAGGCTTTTCAATATTGTATCTTGAGTACCCGCACATATCTTACGTTGTGGGGAGTCACTGATGGGGTATTATGATCCACGGTGATATCTAATCCGCGACCATCGCATCGATCTTTCATCCTTATTCGCTCGCGAACTTCACCACCAGGTCCGACAAAGATCGTGACTCACGTCGTGTCTACTGGCACGTTCAGCGAACATTGACTGCAACAAGTACAAGACCGCGACTCATCACGCTAAATCGATTTTAATGATCATATGACATCGTCACAGAGGCACGACATTCCTCGTGCAAGAAGAACCTCATCTCGCCTTAGCATCGTGTTGGGATCTCAGAAGCTCATATGATGGAATGCTCCACATGCTTTCTCAGGTAAATCGATTCGAAGATCTAGATTTTCTTTTCTCAACCTAAAGAACATCTATTAGTTAACGAACACGTCAAGCCAGTGCAAAGGCATACTTCCCTGCAAGCACTTAAGCGAGCACAGGCTGGGCCCTCGGATCCGTGTTCTATGCAAAGAAGCGACAGCACGCTTCTTTGAATACCGTGATATCTATAGAATCCCCCACACGGTCTGGCACCACGCACATCTTGCGGGACGGGCACATTGGTATAGTATGTTGGTTCTCAGCACCCTGCGCCCGCCGTCTTTCTAGCCCCAACACCACGGTGTTCTACTCGGAGTGCGCTTCTAGTACTTTAGTAGCCGCCGGAATAGACTCACAAAAAGTCTCCATGATATGTGCGCTTGTTTCCGGTTATCTTCAGTCAAGTCATCCCGGGACCGTGAGCAGCCAGATCGAATAGAATCTATGGCTGGCGTCGTCGTTCCACCTTTGGCCGCGGAACGTCAACTGAGGCAGTCCCAAGCTCCAACTTAGCCGGCCCACACCAGATTGAGCTTAGCGGCCTTCTCATCCTAGCATCAGTCTATTCATCGCCGCATGGTAACCTCAGACTTGTCGATTCGATGCGGCTTACCGCACACAGTCCGCATTCTAGCCCCTCTCCTGTTACTTCTCCGACGCTAGGTAAAGGTGCCAAAGGGCCAATCCGGTTGCCTTCAAAGGCCGTCTGACGTCCCACCGCGGCATAATAGCCATTCAACTACGTATGTAACCAAGTTTGGACAACACCCGTGCCAATCATGCAGGCACATGGTCATGATATATCTTATATGTTCATAGTAGTAAATTGACCGTCATCACTGCGCTGGTAACGCGCCAGTTGCGCTCCTTTGAAATTCCATAGGTCGTTTGGCTACACATTGATTTACGTTATGTGCACAGCAGACCTTCTAGGCCCAAGGGCAGTTGAAGAATGGAAGTTCTAATGGTCCTGGCATTAATCATAAAGAAAACTTCTTGAACATTTCATTTCATTGCTTCATAGGCCCAGAATTAGTACTACGACAAACCCCAGAATGCAAAATGCAGAAATGAAATGAAATGGAACATCAAAATTCTAGGTCAAGGTCTTGCCCAGACCACCCCAGAGGCCAAACGCACGCGCAGGAGGCTGAGGCTCAAACCAGGCTCAATCGCCCAGGCCAGTGTGGCATCCCGCCAGCCAGTGCGTGGCAATAGTCCCTTTAGCTGGGCCGCCATGGTTGGGCCTGGTGATAACCGAATTCCACCGGAAAATGTAATCTTGCGAGCCAGTACCTTTTTGTGGCATTGTTGGGAGCATTTAGATGTTTTCATTTCGTAGCTTGGAGCCAATGGCATGCGAGCGCCACGATTTATTTCCTCTCGAAGACATATCTTCCTATGACGTCGGAGCGTATCACGCAACGCGTGTGTGACCGACGAATTGCACCGCCTCCGTGAGGAATTACAACGGGCATCGGGATTGACATGGATATTGTCGGGTTCCTTTGTGACGCCACGAAGTTGTGCTGGCTCCCTATTAAGCTGACCGGTAACCTGGCGTGCCCGACAGTAAGGAGAGCAAGACCTTGGTAAGGCGCAAAAACTTCCGTCTGTAACTCTCCAGCAATTCCTTTGCAGCGGACGTAATACACTGTGCTATCAGCAGTTGACCACCGTGTGCGTATATTACATGACCTCGCTGGCCGTGTCACACGCTGCCTCGACAATGTCTGAGGGTGCAGCATATTGCATCAAAGATACTTATCTGTCGCCATTTTACTTACCAATCATGCGCGGGTTATGCGTCCCTCATCGCATTATTGTTGCCTGCCATGTTCAACCTATGTGGTAATGTAAATTTTGCATTCTTGCTATGCCCCTCAATATCCATGCAATGGGGATAAGGCTGAGACCTGGAAACCAGGCGGGCCCATCAGTGGCGTCAATGGGCGAGACATACGATTGACACTTGGTCGATGGAAGAACAATAAAGGACACATCCATCCCGCAAGGCTCGATCACAATTTCCTGTAAAGCGTATAGGGGTTGACGTTCATGACTTTGGGGCCTTGTGCACGTACGTTTAACAACACTGCCGCTGCGCAGAAACTGACACGCCACTACTAGATGCTGAGCATGACACCTTCGGACCACAATTATCGTCATTCATGCCCTCGATTGGAGGTAAGTCAAAAAGCTTGACTATTCGCATGCTCTTCTCCACGTAAGATATGCTCCACAGGAATATTGAAAATACGGCGGACGCTTGGAATATCTGCGGTCTTAGGGCGCTGCACTGATAAGATGTGATTTAGTAAAATAAATCACATGCCAATCAGGCAAGCGAAACAAAAGCCTAGATTGTGACTTCTAGATACTTATCTGGGCTCCCATTTTGCTTAACTCGGCCCCAACTTGAACGTTCGTCCAGAAAGTCATTTTTCGCGCCTTCATCTCCGCGTTGACTAGAAGATTCTGACATGCTGACATCTTCCCCGAAGAACGTCAAAACATTCATAATGGTTGTTAATGAATGAGGCACAGCCGGAGGGAGATAATTGTATTGCTTCGAATGTGCTTGCGTGCATCCGGACCTATTGCGTCGAGTCTATCCTTTTATGCAGCGTTATGATGGCATGTATCGGTGCAAGAGTAATACACACTTTCATTCGAATTCTCAGTGGTAACTCCCCGTGTCATCCACCACTACTATATGGAACTGTCACCATGTATACCTTGCGTTCTAGAACATATCTGATGTCTGACATGGCTCGATCATAAATGTTAAAGCCCACCTAAAGGTTATCAACCCCCCTAAATAACCAAGATAATCGGAATTCCGTAATATGTCCTCATGTTTTCACATGACATGGTCGGTAAACTGCAAGGCTACCGTCTGTTAGCTAAGGGTGTTCAAACGTTCACGGAAGATAGACAAACTATAATTGGGAAATGTGTGTATTTTGAATCGGATGATGAGTGTGTGACCTCGTCACCAGCGAGCTGGTAAGATGGATCAGATAAGAGAATTTGCTTCGCCAAGCGCTTGGAAACTACTTGACACCTTCTGAAAGATGAGTTCGCCGGATATAAATGACTTGATATCACTCACTGTGTTCCCGATACGGACGACACAGGGTAGTAAGTACAATGAGATGTCAAACGGATTTGTGGCACCTCAAGACGGAGATAACTTGCCTACAGAATGGGTACGAATGACGGGCGGACAACTCCAGCCATCCTACAACGATATGATAGATCCGGTGGCCCCCCTAGTGAGAGTTAGTCTGGTATGAGGCGCGAATTTAATAGAAGTAGCTATGGACCCACGTACTGCTGCACGAAGTTAGACTGGTGCCTTACCTCGCATTAGTTGTCAGCACCATGATGCAGGACGTGCGCAACTCAGGATGGTCGATGGACCACAGGATGAAGTTGTAGAAAAGACAACCGGCTCACTCGTCAAGTAAAGCGATAGTACGTAGTACTTGTTGAAGACGCGGCGCTGGTGCACGTGGACGGTTTTGGGCCTTGGCTGAGTTTATAATTTTAGTATTTGTCTGGACTAAATTCCCAAATCAGGTTGCATGATGATCATTTTAATCCATAATTCAATTGCAATTTGCAAAATCTAAATCACATAATTTTACAGCGGCACCTACTAAGTCACTAGAGACCGACCATTCTGCAGCTCTCAGCGTCAAGGGATTTAATGTACATTCATTTGTTCTCGCCTCGATAGCAGGAGAACCGGCCTAATCCTAATCCAGGGCTTTTTGAGTTGACTCCGATTGAGACACCGGGCGCATAGATAAGATTTCTTGACTTCCTATTTCGGTGCAAGATCACCTTCGCCGGCACCTTTCACAGCTCCCCTGGGTAAAGTTGGAGATCTCAGGTTATAAAACCCCATTGAATTCCATGTCACTTCCGCGCGATATCCGTGCATTTCTCTCTCATTACCACGGTCAAACGGATGACTCGCAAGCTTCAGATAATCTACTATTTTACCAAAATCGTCTGCGCTGCCAGCCAGACGATCTTTTGATCAGCGAGATACACCAGAGGTATGCGACCGTTACTATCCAGTACAGAATTGACATGAAGTTTTATACATAGCTGGCGCAAAGACTATAATCAACTGGAGTACAACCATGCTTACATCCAATGGCTGTAAGTCGTGCGACATATATCCACTGGCGGCACCCGGTGATAATCTCATCACTCAACCATGATGTGCGCAGCTTCCCCATCCGCGAGAACGGGATGAATTTCGAGGCGCAAGCTCTCCAGCCACACGAAGCTGCGGCGATGAAGGAAGATCCTGATGTCATCGAGCGCATCAAGGCCTCTTATGGGCTGATGTTGGATTTCTATGGCATGTACCTGGTGAACTTCGAGACTGGTCTCATTGGACGCTCAGAAGGCTACAAAACCCGGTACAAGAACCTGTTGCGTGGGTGAGGCACCATGATCAGAAACTCATGCTTACGAACTTGGGTAAACAATATAGAAGCTTCTCACAACAACCTTCGTATTACACGGATCCTCAAGTGTCTGTCGGAAATGGGCCTGGAGCATCTGAACGCCGGTTTCCTACTCCATGTCCTCAATGAACAAAGCGAGCACAAACAGCTAAATACCAGCCTACTACGGGATAGCATGGATAGATGGTGGGCTAACTGCTTGAGGAATAAAGCGGATCGGGAGTGGATCGGACTTGCAATAAAGAAGGCGAGGAACGGCGAGACTTTCAGCAGAGAGAAGTACGAAGCCAGTCTGCAGAGGCGAAATGAATCGGGGTCCATTGCAGAACCGCAACTTGAATGTACTGATGGGTAGGAGGTACTTTACTACGTTTGCACTGGGCAGAATGACACGACTCTTTTCAAAACTGAATTACGTCAAAAATTTGTTCTAGGTTGCAAGTAGTACTGCCAGACATTCTAACTAGTCGACTGCTCGAGGATCGAGCCTGGCGGCGAGCTTCTATAGGTAACGCGCTATGAAGAAGTACAAAAATATGTGTCAACTATACATTACTACAAAAATACTACAAATATGCTGCAAAGAGATTAGCAGGATACGATGATCCGGGGAACAAAGGACTAACGTTAAAGCCATTGTATATCGCTATCGCGATCGCGGGGAACAATGTCTCATGATAGGCTTCGCAGGCGCGAAAACAAAGCCTCTCTTCTTCTTCCTTCGTATGCTGCACTGACAGCCTGCAAGAGACCTTCGATAGATTCGAAGATCTGATCCCCATCAAGCTAGAAGAAATTTTAGTGGGTGTAGACCACGCGTACGCTGTACGCACCTGGTAGCCACGAGCAGTTAGCGTTATGCGAATAGTTCTGCCCTCTAAGAGAGTGACAGAAGCAGTGGCCTCATGGGGCGATGAGCTTCTGCAGATGTCAAACCGAGCCAGCCCGAAGGCTTGTTCAGAAAGGGCCTTGCTAAGCTCGGTATGGTAGAATGAAGTCGACATGATCTTTGGAAATGTGAGTTTCCATGTGTATCGATGAGTCCCAGTGTTATATAGTTTTGAAAACCAGGGAGGCAGAGACATGCTAAGAACTTCGCTCCTGTCTTGGAAGAACCCCACGACGTCAACTTTAGCGAGGTGTCAACTCCAGCGCTTTAAAAAATGATCATGGTTATGTGCTTGACCCTGGTGCAATTTGAAGTTGGATGACCCCAGGAAATATAGTTCCTGTTGGAAGAGGGGCTACACGTAGTGGAGCAGGTGAGACTCGAAGAGGAGCAAGGTTGAGAAAGAAAATCGGTAGTTACCGCGATGACGGTCAGGAGTACAATACATTCCTGAGTTCAACGACCAATCTCTTGTCTTATTTTTACTTGATTTTCAGTCATGAGGCCTGGAAAATAGCACTGGGCCAGATCTACAAGCGCAATCGTACAGGAACATATCCACGCTCATTGAGTCAATAAGCTCTCAGTAATGTTCTCCACAATATAATCAGAGGAGAACGATGGTCCGCCAAATCTGGACGCAGGAACAACATAATCCCGTAGACGAGACAACCGGAGCACATGGCACTGGTTGACCCGGGAGCGCACGAGACACGCAGCTTGTTATTTCTGGTCTGTCCACAGCCCCAGGGTTGCATGGAATCCGATATACGGCAAGTTAAAACAACGGTATCATGTTAACGAAACCGAGACCGATAGAAGCGAAACGTTTCAGATACGAGTGGGGAGACGGGAACTATGCAACGTTTTCTTACGTTATGCGCATCTAAAGCTTAGAACTCGCAAAGCCTCAATAGGCTGCTGCCTTCTGAGAGACCGTACCGTTAGGGAATAGTGCACGGAACATGCCGTTTCTAGTAACAATGTACTGGCCCAGAACGACAGCGGTCAAGAAAGGTTTCCAGCTCCAACGTAAAAAATCAGCTTGAGCAGACGAGATCATAGGGAAAGTCTCGCTTGATATCACTGTGCTTTCAACAAGTATGCAGCCCTACCGATGACCGTGGCACCGCTTGAAAGCCCTCGGGAGGAAGTCGACACCATCACGTCACTAGCACAGGGCAATCCACACGTCCATAACGCTTTGGAGTTGGTCGAGACCGATTATGTCGAGTGCACAGGTTATTTTCTGGGTTTTTTTTCGGATCAGGACTGCTGCCACCCGTGAATTTCACATTAACGTTCGCTTAGAATGCAACTGTGTGCCTGAAGGCGGGTACGAGGAGATTGGATATTGCAGACTCGCGGGTTCATGCAGGGCTGGCCAGAAAGGGTGACGCCAATATTTGAGTTGTTTGACAGGCCATCGGAAGTGACCATGTGGTTCGGTAGCGCATGCAGATCCAGACTCCAGAGGAGTGCTTGCCAATATTTGCAAATGTTTAACCTTTTTCCTGATGTTCACTTTAGGAAATTATATTCGACTGCTCGTGACACGCTGCGCATGCCAGTCACGGTGCACGCTCACCAACTTGTACTAGCTACGCATACCGACATTATTAGAAACTCGTGAATCACAAGGTAGTTCACGCTACAATCTCGTTGAACCCTCGCTGTTCCACCCAGCTTCATATAAATCATCATTCAGCCATGGACGTGGTCAAGGCAGTGGAAACATACATCACGAAGTTGGTATCTACGCCCTCTGCAATGAAAGTTCTACTGCTCGACACACACACGGTACATCTTCTCCATACTATTGTTCAATCATTCAAACTCCATATGTGCAATCACAGACACCCATTGTTTCACTCGCGTCTACCCAATCTACCCTACTTTCACATCAGGTTTACCTGACCGATCGTATCGACAATGGGAAACGGGACCGGATGTCGCACATGAAATGTGTCTGTTTTCTGCAGCCAAGTGAAGACAGTCTTGATGCCCTTTCCGCCGAGTTAAGGGAACCAAAATACGGGGAATACTATCTGTGTCAGTGCGTGACTACTGAGGGTAGAAAAAGACTTGGACTGCTTACATGAGTTGTATATTTCAGATTTCAGTAACATACTGAGCAAACCTGCCATTGAACGTTTGGCTGATATTGATGAATTTGAAGTCGTCAGGGAGGTGCAGGTAAGTGGGAATTGTTCTACATCGCATTTCTATTGAAGTCTCCCGACTAGGAATATTTTGCTGACTACGCACCCCTGTTGCCCTGCCTGTTTTCTCTCAATCATACACCGACGGCGGAGAAACCCCTGTATGGCTCCTCGCCAAATGTGTGGGACTCCCTTGCGCTTGAGCGCACTGTTCAGGGTATTATGGCTGTCCTTCTCAGCTTAAAGAAGAAACCCGTGATTCGGTACGAGAAAATAAGCGGGATGGCCCAAAAACTGGCGAGCGAAGTGCAGGTAAATATCGGGCCGGTAATTTTTTGTGTATAACACTTACGAAGATTGTAGCATCGTATCCAAGCGGAAGCGACGCTGTTCGATTTTCGCTTGACGCAAGTAGCTCCACTGTTGCTGATTCTTGACCGGCGAAACGACCCCGTCACTCCTCTGCTATCACAGTGGACCTATCAAGCCATGGTGCACGAGTTGCTGGGCATTCATAATGGTCGCGTAAATCTTAGCATGGTCCCTGGTATCCGTCCAGAGCTTTCTGTATGTCTCTTTAAGTTTTGCACAGCTCATACTCTAATGCCATGTGTAGGAAATAACCTTGACAACGATTACCGACCCTTTCTTTCAAGCACATTATCTTGCGACGTTCGGTGACCTTGGCACTTCCCTGAAAAATTATGTCCAATCATATCAGTCGCGTTCCCTCGCCCAATCACCTTCATCCATTAACTCAATATTTGACATGAAGCGCTTTGTGGAAGAATATCCGGAATTTCGGAAGCTGGGTGGGAATGTTAGCAAACACGTCGCTTTAGTAGGCGAGCTTAGCAGGTTGGTTGATCGTGACAGGTTACTTGATGTAGGAGAGGTAGAGCAAGGGCTGGCCACGAGCTCCGGTTCAGACTTTAAGGTTTGCATTCTAGGGTCGATGTCAATCTTTGACGCTTACGAAAAGGGGCAGAACGTACAGGCTGTGGTCAACAACCCAGTCGTGCCAGCTTGGAACAAGTTGCGGGTCGTCATTCTCTACGCACTGCGTTATCAAAAGACACAGACGAGCAATATTGCCGCCCTAATTAATTTGCTACTATCCAATGGCGTGTCTCGTGAAGAGGCTCGGGTAAGCTTTGCACTTGAAGAATCACACAAAATATGCACATGTACTCATTCCTTTTCAGCTAGTTTACGTTTTTTTGAACGTCGCCGGATCAGATCAGCGACAGGATGATCTATTCTCCACCGAGTCTCTATTAGCCAAGGGCAGATCCGCTTTGAAAGGACTCAAGGTATTTTAAACACAGCATTGCATTGCGTGCCATAGTAATAATGCTCAGGGAGTCGAGAATGTGTATACTCAACACACGCCACATCTTTCTCAAACTCTAGAAAATCTCTTCAGGGGCCGATTGAAGGATACTGCGCACCCTTTCTTGGACGGGACTGGTACTAACATGGGATTGCAGCGGTGAGAAATCTGCCTTTGAGCAATGTCCGAGCTTTTTATTCGACTTTTTAGGCCTCAAGATATCATCATTTTCATGATCGGTGGAACTACATATGAGGAAGCAAGGACAGTCGCACTCCTGAACCAAGAAGCAGGTAATTCTCTGACAGGGACAAGAATTCTACTTGGCGGCACTTGTGTGCACAACTCGTCCAGGTGCGTAGTATATTTGGGAAGAATGAGGAGGCGACGTACCTACAACCCTTATCAGTTACGTTGAGATGATTCGCACCGCCGCAGAGAAATTTCCCGTGTCAGTTTACGAGCCACCTCCAGAATCCGCAATCACTGCTCCATCTTTGAACCTCAATCTTGGCGGTGTCAATGTCAGTCTTGGAGGTCCAACTGGAACGGGTGTGTATAGAACAAGCTCTGACCATGTCGGCGTTCAAGCCGAGGGTATCAAGGATGGTGTGCGCAATTTTATCGGACGGATGAAGCAAGGTGTAGATAAAATCGGATTGCAGTAAACTGTACATCATACTATAAGCGCTCTCTAGATCTGGTTTACCTTACTAGTCGAATTCGTTTCTTCAAGTTCCAAATAAAGCACTAGCTCGGATATACGTATGAGTTGGAGTGACACGTAGCACGTACACAGCGTCCACGTGGTCTAAACCAAGTATACTCCGGACCTCTCACTTGTCTCTGGCCAATCATTTCCAGCTTTTTCTCCTTTCCTCCCGTTCTTTCTGCCGCTTCATCGTGTTCGCTATTATTGAAGGTCGTAAATGGCCAAGGGCTTTTTATCCGGCTTCAAAGGCATAGATGCCTTTGGAAAGGTGAGAACCGATCATTTTGTTGAAGTGGGAACGGGCAAAGACTGACCATGTATGCGGCGCACACATCCAGACTACAGAGGATGTCAAAGTTAAAACCCGTACTGGGGCTCTGCGTAAGCCATTGTCCGGAGCTACTACGATGAAGTGAAGTTGACAGCGGGATGTCTAGTAACCCTCATATCCGCATGTATCATTCTGGCATTTACAACGATGGAGTTTTTCGATTACCGACACGTTGGTGTCGACACGTCGATAGTAGTCGACCGCAGCCGTGGGCAGAAGCTGAGCGTACGGTTGAACGTCACCTTCCCCCATGTACCGTGTTACTGTGAGCCCATTCACGCGTATCGCTGACTGTACATTCTAACTATGGTTGTGTTTGTCTTTGACTTGTGTAGTGCTCAGTCTGGATGTTATGGACATCTCTGGCGAGCAACAACGCGATATCTCACATAATATTCTCAAGAAGCGGATCACTAAGACCGGTGTGGACATGCCTGCATCGCGGGGTGGGGACCTCCGTAACGAGATCGACAAGCTTGCTGAACGACGCACGAATGGGTATTGTGGCTCGTGCTATGGTGGACAGGAACCAGAGAGTGGATGCTGCAACTCGTGTGAAGAAGTTCGACAGGCGTATACAGACAAGGGGTGGAGTTTTACCAATCCCGACGGTATCGAACAGGTGAGAATGACGCTGAATTATTTATAACAAGTTGTCAAGGGATCTATTACAGTGCGTCGAGGAAGGATGGTCAGACAAGCTTAAGGACCAGGCGGATGAGGGGTGCAATGTTTCTGGACGCATCCGGGTGAACAAAGTCGTCGGAAGCATCCAAATTACTCCAGGACGTTCCTACCAGGCAGGTTCGCGCACCTTCCAAGATCTGGTACCATACCTTCGCGACGATGGTAACCCACACGACTTCAGCCACACTATCCACGAGTTTTTCTTCATGGCAGACGACGAGTACAACCCTAACAAGGCGAAGATTGGGAAGGATATGAAGGAACGTATGGGGATTTCAGACAATCCATTAGATGGTGCTGAAGCGAAGGTAAAATTATGTTTGCGTGGTTCTTAATGCTTCTGCTTACATGATCGCAGACGAACAAATCGTCGTACATGTTCCAGTATTTCCTCAAAGTCGTATCAACACAATTCCGCACACTGGAAGGCAAAACTGTGAGTACATGAATCAAACTGGCCGCACAACTTGCTGAATAATGCAGATTAACACGCACCAATATAGTTCAACGCAATTTGAACGTGATCTGACGAAGTTCAATGAAGGCGAGAACAAGCAAGGCGTGTTTACTCAACACGGCGTCGCGGGCGCACCAGGTATGTTGAAGAGCATGGGTCATCAATTGATGTTTTAATACATTTTCAGGTGCATACTTCAACTTTGAAATTTCACCCATCCTTGTCGTGCACTCTGAAACGAGGCAGTCGTTTGCTCACTTCCTCACTTCGTAAGTGTCGCCGTACCCACCTATACTCTCTTATTCACTCTGCCTATATAGTACTTGCGCTATCGTCGGAGGTGTTCTTACCGTGGCTGCCCTGCTGGACAGTATCCTATTTGCCACCGGACGCAAGTTGAGGAAAGTTGGTGGTGACGGGAACGTGAAGCTCATGTGAAACCGTGTACCATAGCAAAATATTCAACTTGAGCACGTTCCTTGAATATTTATCACGTCTTGCGCATAACTTCATACAATGGTGATTGTGCATCAGCCAACTCCGTGCTTTAGCCTCCCAAAAACACAAGATACGCGTCTACGCTGTTTAGAATCACTGATGGCGACAGCGAGAATTTGCAAAAAAACCCACCCTGAAACATCTGCCTGCTTTGGCCTTGTCCCTTCACTCTCTCCATCGGCTAAGATTTGAATGCGCCCTCTTTCTTGCCAAATCTACAGGTTCTGTGGGCACCAGGGACACGTTCTACATACGAGCTTGCAGTTAAATATAGCTCCTGACGTGAACGATGTCACAACCGCGTACTTCTGGGGGATGCTTTATATAGTCGTCGTGAATATTGTGATTCGTGGTGGGTGGCCGGATGACGGTCTGGAAGGGCTTCTTGAAGGTCATGGCTTCGTCTGTGATGCCGCTGCCCTCCTTCCGCGCTAGCTTCTCAAGCTCATGACGGTCGATACCGGGTATTTTGTTCAGCGTTACGAGATATGGTGGTGTCATGGAGAACGATGGGTAGAGAGAGTGGACATGACATCATTCTGACGACACAGGCCATCGGACAACAAACCACAACGCTTGTACACAAGATCAATAGCTGACCGGGTGATGCATCGTAATGTGGGGGTCTTCGCAGAATGTTGCTATGTTCTCCAGAAAATTCACGGTGGCGATCCAGGCTGAAATAATGACGCCAAATCACCGACTTTTATCATTGTAAATGTACGCGGTAGAACAAAAGTATCAGAGCAAAAAGAACAAAAAAGAAGCCGTTATGTATATTTACTGATTATACGATGGTCCAAGGTGCATTTGGTGCGCTGACACAAATAGTTAAATCAGTACCTCTTGCCATATTTATTGAATAACGAACTACAGCCCAAGTGCGAGATGCTCTACTCACGAACAATTCAGGCATTGTTCGATGCCAAAGAACATTCCTAGGACGAGATTCAACATCGAATCAGTGCGCAAGCCTTGCAAAACATCAAGGAGAACACACCCGTCTCTACATGCCACACTTGCTCGAGGGAACCCGAAGAGCTCTAACTTTGACTTTGCCGGCCTCGAAGCCAGTGCCATCAGTCAACTCTCCAAATGCCTCTGGTGAGATATTGAATGTGTAAGAGTTATCAACAGCGGTGATGTAGACGGTAGTCTGGCTGCCGCTAGGCGTGGCGTACTTGAGGCTCCAGCAGGAACCACACAAGGTGGAGTTCCAGACGCCACCTGGAACACCTCCGATGTAGGGGAATGAAGGGATGGAGGAAAAGGTGGTGTACCCCTTGGTCACAAGACCATTTTTGCCGTTGGAGCAGGAGACGATATTGAGAGACGCGTCAGGGTTGCTGTACGTATAGTCCCATGTAACATATGCGGGTTCTGCGAACGCTGGGAGGGTGAAGGCGGAGAGAAGAGCAACGACAAGGGCGAACTTCATTGTGTAAGAGCTGTTTGAATGTTGTGCGGTGGCTTGAGAAGACAGTTTCGATATCTCCTACTCACTTTTATAAGTCGGAGCAAAGTATCAGATGCCAGAGCGAGCTCCACTCGATGCACATGGACAGAAAGTCGGCAGGAGGTCAGCGACATTTAGTTTCTTGCTTCGATCTCCCTTGATTTACCATCAAGACATTAAGCACGTACCTGAGCTGAAAGTAGTGCGGGTGTCCAAATGTAGTAGTCATATTCCCCAGATAAGCGCCCTGCAACGAGGGCCGGTACGAGTGCAGCGGAATCAGGATGAAGCCAAGGGGCAGGTCGACTGCAAAATTCAAGGTAAAAAAGATCATCATACCATCTGATGAAGGAAGTCCTTACTTCTCTCTGATATACGCCAATTATAGATGTGTATGCCACTAAACTGGATGTAGGCCACCCTCACGAAAGTCTACTGCGCGTCGCTACGCGACGATCCTGCCTTGAGTTACCATTATTGGCAGCGAGTGAGCTACTGCCAACTGAGGCCTAGCTGAGTCGAGTTCCAGAAGCCTCCAGTACCTGAGTATGCGCGTGACACTGCCAGGTTTTCTGACTTGGGTGGTAACATGACATAACTCGTGGACGCAGTGGCTTTTGATCCAAGGTTTGGGACTTCGATGCCGGGAGTGTGATTCGCTCAGCCACCCTGAGTGCTGGAATATGTTTAATCCAGAGGCGAACCAGTGGAATGCGGATGCAATGAAGGTACCAGCAAAGTTTAAGTTTCAAACTCCACAACACGTTGAATATATGGTCAGCGCAACGGCACAGATATACGTCACACGTCCGCGTCACCTGCCAGGTCGATGGATAGTCCGCTGAGAGGTCTAGCCATGTGCTCCACATGAGTGATGAGTCGGAAGGAGTGCCGTCGGATACGTCGGGATGAGTACGAGCGGATTAACTTAGCGTCCGTTTGACATCGGCCGAGTACCATCTCCTGAATGACTCCAATACAATTTTTTTCTTCTTATTCTACATACGTACCGTACTTGTCAGAGTCATCCTTCCGGATCTCCCTCTTGTCACGTGCGCTCGCCTGAGCCAGAGCTATAATTAAAATATTATATTTAGGATCCGCCAATTTTTCCTTACAATAATGGCGTTCAAAGTAGATTTCACAGAGCTCGCTAAGCTCGCTAAAGTTCGGTAAAGCTCGGTAAAATTGGTCCTGACTTAAGGTTTGTTACACTACGGCTTGGGCCGGCATTGATGCGGAGTTCCAAAAGACATGCCTGCCCTACGACCACGACTTCGTCGTTCTGCACGACTGCAGATGCACTCTCAAATCACCTCCCCACGACGTTGCAAGACCGGGCTGAAAGTTATGGAGCCACCACCAGCTCCTCCTGCATGGGAAAGGGAAAACACGGCAGAGGAGGTAAAGATAGAGACACTACTCCTACTATTTCTATCAGCTGGCAATCAGTTCCCCAGCGGACCAATAGGCTGGTCGACTACCTCGTTGGACACCCACCAGATTGCCGCATTCTGTTTGCCAGTGAAAAAAGGAATTCAGCCAACCGTGAAGCTGAGGGTCACCCCTCAGGTAAAGACAAAAATGAAATCCATGCTGTCATCGCAAGAGTTATTTTCTCTGACGATCCTCAATATGCAGTGCTCTACGCGTCGAATCCCAACAAATTTCGGGACTCTGTATATAATCGCATTGTGGCGTAAGTGATCCCCCCTATTTTTATAATTATCAATGCTGATCAGACTGATCAAAACCTCCGCACTAAATTTCGTGACATTCGTGCTGAATTCGAATCAACGGGTGCAGGCATCGTGCCCATCGATTCAGAGACGAGCGTGAATTTGCATCGTGAGTTTTCTCCTCCTTACAACAAATTCTCCTAATTAAATTTGTAGGTAAATACGAGAAGGACTTTCCCTGGTACGATCAGCTCTACTCCATCTGGGGCTCCCATCCATCATTCTCCGCCAAAACATCATCGTCAAAGCCGGGCGTTAATCACACGAGCGATCTCTTTTCTCTCACCCATCCTTCGGGTGGCTCTCTTCGTCCCCCTGCTTCCTCCAGCACTGATCCCGGCTCTCCCATGCAACTTGGCAACACGCCTCTCCCCAATGCTCAAGCTGGCGGCGTTGCTGGGTCCTCAACTGGACCCGCTTATGGCTGCCTTCCCCCAAGCGCCCATGCAGGTGGTGCCACAGCCGCGGCACCACCTACCTCCCCCCAATTTTGTCACAGTCCCTCTGCTCCTGGAGGCAGTGGTGGTAGCCCTTCGCAATGGAAATATGCACTGCCACCCCAAAGCGCTCACACCAATAGTTCTGCCGGGTCCCCTGTTCTTCGTTTCCCACCGCTTCCCTCCGGTGCTACATCTCACGACGGTACTTACTCTCCCATCGCTCATTCCCCCACTGACGATTATAATTTCGATGGTATCTATGATGATAACCCTCTTGCGGGTGAGATGGAGGATCTTCGTATGGATTCCACAGATGAAACCACAGATGACGACAGCAACACTATCAGCCTGGACAGCCCACCAAGACGCAGGGCTGGGAAGAAACGCCAGGAGCCCCCTTCCCCCCCTCCCCTACTACTACTACCTCTCAGACGCAACAGATGCCCCCCCGCACTTCCATCCAGCATGATCGTGCTACATTCAAGTCTCATGTTAGCCAGGTGATGATGCGTGAAAAGAGTAAATCAGGCTCTATGACATCATTGGGGTCACGCTCGTCGTCACACTCTCGAAAGCCATCATCTCACGAGCTGTCATCTCAACAGTCCTCCCCAACAGCGCAAACATCCGTCTCGACGACACCAGCAAGTTCAGTCTCAAAACGCCTCCAGACGGAGATTCGCGAGCAGATGGATGTGCTCAATGACGACCTGGAAAGTATACATTCCGACAAGCTAACTCTATATCAACTGAAGAACGAGCACCTTATGGTGAAACTAAACACCAGTCGCCAGGAGAAGGAACATCGTATGATGCGCGAGGAGCGTATGGATGAGCGCGCAGACGCTGCCATAGTCCATCAGCGCATGAAGGAGGCTAAAGAAGTAGATATTCGCCTATGTGAAGCAGATGCTGCCGCTTTTGCCGTGGAAGCAGATGTTCTATGCCTCCAGATTCAGTGGGCCCAGCTCAATGCCCAGGGTGGCAAACCTGCTGGTACCTGACTTCTCGTGTCGTCGTCATCATCACGTTGTGTCGTCGTCATCATCACGTTCTCGCGTCGTCGTCATCATCACATTCTCGCGTCGTCATCATCATCATCACATTCTTGCGTCGTCGTCGTCGTCGTCATCATCGTGTTCTCGCGTCTTTGTCTTCACCATCAAGTTCTTGTGTCGTTGTTGTTATGTTCTCATGTTGTTATGTTCTTACATGTCCTGGATGTTATGTGTCTTGTTGTGCTTGCATGTAGTATTCTCACATATGGCCACAGGTTGATCACTACTTGTAAGATTTGGTAGTACATTTGGTAGTACATTTGTTTAGCTATACACAATGTTACTCTGCTTGTTTGTTCAATCTGCCTGATGGTGTGCTTCTGAATAGGGGCTATCAAACAACATATCCATCAGCCTTGCCCTGTGAGCTTGACCTGGAGTGCCTTCATAAGACCTATCACCCACTACTTCATCACCATCTGGTCCTTCATCCTCATGGCGTATAGTATTGTGCCCCTCTCGAACAGCCCATACAAGTGTGGATTTGTTGCGAATCTCCTCAAAGCGGATGATCATGTTATGAAGGATTAGGCAACACCTAACCCAATGCAGAGTGACCTGAAGATCCTTCTGGTTCTGAAGTGGGTGCCTAAGTTCCTTGAGAGACTGGAATCGTCCTTTCAAAGCTGCAAATGCATGTTCAACACGAACACGGACCTATATAAATAAAAAATCAGTGAAAATTGCAAAAATCAGCCAAAAAATTTAGAAATACCCGAGAGAGGTTAATATTGAAGGATTTCTGGTCCCTGGTCAACCTCCCATTACGTGGCTTCTTGAAAGGGGCAATGCACCACTTCTCAAGTGGGTAGGCACTATCTGCCCAAATCCAATGGTCCTCTGGAAGAAGAGTGTCATGCTCCTGATAAACACGAGTGGATTTGAAGGCATAAGCATCATGTGTACTGCTGTCATATCCCGCGTTCCGGACCCGGACCTATCACACACATCATTTCCGGAAGTCTGGATCCGGCCGACGTCTATCTATGTCCGGATCCGACCCGCGTCTAACTTCCGTGCCTTATCCCTTTGTACGTTCCTACTCCAGTTAGACTATATCATTTTCTGTACCTCATTTCATTTCCGCCTTTATTTTCATCTGTTCTAATCTCCGGGTTCATTTACTATTTTCCGATAGACTAGCGTTTGACTTTTCTATACGCTCCGTCCACAGCTTTGTATAGCTTCGGACTGCGCATCTCTGTTCTCCGATAAGTCCTCAGTAGTATATAAACCCTATAGAATCTATGTACATCCTTAGTTCGAATATCATCTTAGACTCTGCTCATTCTCTCCTCCGTCTGACTTGAGTTTCTCTCTTGTCGACCTCTGCTCGTCTTAGGATCAATTCCTATAGACTTGTCACCTCCGCCTCTACCTCTGGTAGTCCTCCGCTGTTTCCTTTCTAGTTTGGACTTCGTCCGGATTAGTCTTATCTCTTGTTCCCGAACGTCCGCCAGAATTCCTGCGCATCGGACATCGGACTCCGGACATCGCCCGACGCCCTCCAGACATCGTCCGGTAACCTTCGGACATCGTTCGACAGCCTTCGGAAGTTAGGGGCACGTACTCGGGTAAGGGGCGCAGCGCATGAGCTGAAGCCAAGCCCTTCGGATCCGACCCTTGAGCACGTTCTTAACAACTGCCAGGGTTACCCAGTGAATAATCAACTATGAGGAGGTTATGGGGCATAATGATTGCCTGAATTTTTTATCAGTTTCTGACTGTTAGAATAAAAGAAAAAAAATACCTGACAGTTGAGGGAATAGTTAGACTTCCTGTCATAAAATGCCTCACCATAAAGACCAGGTTTTTCATACAAATTAATGGCAGAACCATCAATTGCAAAAATACCATTTCTCCACTCAGGGCAGGACCTAGCCTCAACAAATTGCCGAGCACGCTCAGCATCTTCGGAGTCAGGAGTAGGAAATTGGATGAATGTATCATGCAGATCAAGGAGGGCAATCATGACACGGTTGCTGCAATTGATTACTGACCCCACACTAACACCTGCCCATTGACCCACATCTTCTGGAGAAATGGCATTGCCATAGTGCCAAGCGCGGTTGAGAAAAATAGCTAGCTGAATAGCAACTGGAAGCTGGGGGTTATTGGACTGATTAGTGAAGATGGGGTGACCTGAGATGTGATCAAGGATATCGTCAAAGATCTCGGGATTAACGCGTAGTTTCTTCCGGAAGAGATGAGTGCGATGAAGGTACAACAATTCAGAGAGTGAGTCTGAACAATGTTGGGTCTTGCAGAACCTAGCTGCTATTCGACCCTAAAGGGTTTCTGGACCAGGCTCAAGGCTCAGAGGAGAGGAAATATCATGAAAAACTGCTTAGTACTCTGACTCCTACTGGTAACTGGTGAAAAGATAACTTGCTTATGTAAGCTACAAAAGTGCCAACATAAGGTAAGGTAAAAACAGTCTCTACAAGCCCAGCCAGAAATGAATCCCTACAGCGAGATGTCCCGAAATCATGAAGGAGGTGAATTTGAGGGGCCCGCATAGGAGGTGCATCTGGCTTTTGAAGGACACGTGCCCTTGAGACCTCATCACGAAGGGAAGTGATAGTGTCATGAAGGCGGTCATAATGTGCAGCAACATGGGTGCTTTCATCATCCGAGTCCGAGTCTGAGTCTGAGTCCGAATAGTCGGATAATTGTGGGGTAAGAGGAGATGGAGGAGTGAGGACCATATCCAAGTCAGAATCAGAATCAGAGTCAGAAAAATCAGATAGGGTCATAGTATGAAGCACATGCTTGTACTTGGAAATAGTTAAGGCTAATTCTGCCTCGTCCAGTTCATCAAGCAGCTGGTTGCGTAGGGAAAGATGGGGCATGATGAGGTTCAAGAGACACCAATATGAATATGCTTATCGATCCTTATCCATCAGCTTATCACTCTGTGTGATGGAATCCAAATATGGGGTCGGAGTTTAAATTTTCCTTTTGTGGTAACAAGCACTCTGGTGCAGCACCAGCACCATCAACGACGACGACAACACTCTAGCGCCCGTTCGGCATCTCGATTCCTCCCACCATCATATGAAGACCTCCAAGCGGCCATGTACGGGCGCATGACTCACTGGACACCATGTCACCATTCGCACCCCCACCCCCACCATTCGCGCCAGCATTGGCGCATACCCCACCACCACCACCACCAATGACCACCACGCTGCGTCCAATGCCACCAGCACCATGTGCAAATGCCCAACGCACACCAGCAAGTGCTGGCATGGTGCGAACACTCGCGGACGACACCAGGAGGCCGAAGATACGAAAAGGATGAGAGGCGGCACTCTTGCTCATCGCACTCTCGTTCTCACTCGCACGCAGTGCATGTAGACTCGGTGCCTGCCGTTCACAGTTTGTGAGTGCGTTGATCGTCCTTCGAGTTTGAGCCACGCTGATCCAAGTTGGTGCCCGCCGTTCGCAGTTTGTGAGTGCGTTGATCGTCCTTCAAGTTTGAGCCACGCTGATAGCGTGGCTCAAACTCCTCTGTTCTTTGTGGCGATCGGACAGGGTCAACCGGGTGCAGGGAAAGGCAAGGTGCTCTTGGCCGTCGACAGTGAGCTCGAGCTTGTCCATAAGCTCATCCCTGCGACGGCCAAACATACTACTATTTTTGGGGATGCAGCCACACGAGCAGGTGCGCTCGAAGCTCTGCAGCAGGACCCAAAGCAGCCTTACAATTCATATTTCGTCATGAGAGACGAACGTTCGCAGGCTCACGATCCTCTCTGAAATGGTCACTCTGATAGTTTGTATGTAGCTTATTTTGTACTTAGTACAGTAATCTATCTGTGCCTCTTCTTCCCAAACACTAAGTCTCTCTTCAAAGTCCGACTGCGATGCCGAACAGAGCCGTACTTGTGTTAAGGTTTTTCAGACTGATTTAACTGACGTTTACCGAGCTTTACCGAACTTTAGCAAGCTCTGTGAAATCTACTTTGAACACCATTAATAATAGAACTAAGGGTTCATGTTGCTGATCATTGACTGGTGTTACCGGTGTTTTGAGTTGAGTCTAGACAGTATTGTACCAGAAACCTCATCAGTCAGACTTTTTTGTTCAAGGATTTTGTCGTGCTGAAGTTGAGGACTTGCTGCAACAGCCTGCAAGTTCATATTGACCACTACTGTGATGGTGCCTTCCAGGGGAAGCCGAGGTGCCATGAAGATAGTACTAGTAACTGCCACTGTCAAGCAAAATGCATTGGAGCTTGAACCACTGTAGGCTCTAGCTAGGGAACTTACTGCCATCTGGTCTTCTATAATTCCAAGTGGCTCATCAAGTAACTAATAATATCGCATTGCACATACTTCAGAATAACGGACTACAACATACAAGCAACAATGTACAAGCTAAATAGACAAGTTGCCCCACCAACAAACCAAAGACTCAAGAACCTCTTTCTGCCATACTTTCAACCATTTCCAGCACACCAGAAAGCTCTCCAGTGTAATTGCCTACTCTCACATTGAATCAGAACTTGAGTCTCGACATCAAAGATGAACATACATGCCACTACATGCTGTTGGAGTCATAGGAGTATGGTTATAGTATGAGCACAAGAAATGAAAGCTTACCAATATGACAAACAATGAGTAATGTAGGGAATGCTGATTGCTGGGAATAGCTGGAACGGACAATATTTGTAATCATAGCACGGAACAGAAACAAGTCCATTGTAGCACTCAGCCTTGTGCTGAGCTCATATTCAGCTAATTCCCAATGCACGTCAAACATCCATCACACACAAATCACTTCCCAATGTTATCTGACACTTACCTGCTCAATCTGATGTTTATCCACTAAACCCGACACTAGTCCAACGAACCTGATGTTTCGGCCACATCGGACCCAATATTTTCCCGGGCACTTGTCCTCCCTATGTCCTGTCCTGTTGTATCTATCCCCACTAGGTGTGCAGTTATTTGTTTTCACATCACTAACACTATAGACTGTGCTATTACATGTCTGCAGTACCACATGTCTTATTACATAGGACATCGTCGTAACGATACAACAATTGCTGGACACTACACAAAGTAAGTAACCAGCAATATATAATGTTGTGGTCTTGCACGGCCTAATCTGCTATACTTGCAAGACAAGTGCATTTGACCCGAGGGGTTAGCTATCTGGTATTAGTCCAAAGTTACTGAATAGATAAATGATCAAAAGTCCAAGTGCGGGAAACAATGTCCGAAGGTATAATCATGAGTCTGATGCCAAAGTGTTGGGTCTGATGTTTTCGGGTTCGGGTTCAGCGGACTACAGAGAATAGTGATAGTGAATGTTGGGAAAACGAGTGGTATGCGGAGACATCGATAATGATGGGTATTTCAGATAGAAAGAGCGGTAATATTCGCAATGTCAACTAAGAACTATGAAATATTGGGTTTGACCACAAAACATTGGGAAACAGCTCCCTACTACTTGGATGATGAATAATGCTTGAGGTCAGTCCAATATATATGTAAGTACATAGAAATGTGGAACCCGTAGGTGAAAGTAGCAGCAGAATATTTCAGGTCCGAAGTACATGTAAACAAACACAAGGCGCTGCGGACTATGGGAAAACATGTAATAGCGCTTGCTGCAACATGAGTAATGTGTGAAATAATCAACTACACACCTAGTGGGGCTAGCAAGACAGGACGGGACAGGGAGAGGACAAGTGCATGGGAAAATATTGGATCCGATGCGGCTGAAACATTGGGTCTGCTAGTCAAAGTGTTGGGTTACATCAAGAAGTGATTATCATGTGATGGGCATTTGACATGAATTGTGAAACAGCTGAATATGAGCCTAGCGTGAGCTCGAGTGCTACATTGGACCTGAAAATTGCCACTACTACTTTTGCCTATAGTGCTCCGAAATTCTACATAGACACTGTTACAGTAGCCCCATCATTTTCCCACCATCACCTGCAAGACTACACATGTACTATACTTCTTGATCCCCGCCCCCCTTCTAGCACACCTCATGTTGACCATGAGGACCTTCCTTATCTCTGACTTCCTTTTTCCATACTATTACAACACCTCATGGGCTGGTCTGTGCACTTCTCCTTACATATATAAACTCTAGCTATCACCTGTACTTTTCCTTAACTTGAATCTACTCAGTTCTCCCCGATACTTGACTAGGACCCAAGGGTGCCTTCTGATCTAGCTCTTTGCAAAGAGACTAGCCATTTACTCGATCACTTCACCAGAGTTCTACCTCTGGTCGTCGTTACCCAATACCATATGCTTGATCTCCTTTATTGGAGCTGTTACAGAAGATTTTATTTGAGTTCATAACAGACACTATATATTTCGCATACTTCCTACTTATTTATCTACCTTTCTACCTCTGAGTAGGAGGAGGTCATCTGATATTCATAGTTCTCAGCTGAATTCCGCAAATATCATCCTTTCATTATCTGAAACACTCTGAAAACACTGACAGTAATCCGCCATTCACTATCCCTGACATTCGCTACATTCCCGACCTTAACCTGACACAATCTGATGTAACCTGATGAAATCTGCTAATCCAAAAACCTGAAAACATCAGACCCGATGTTTTTGACATCGGACTCGTAATTATACCTTCAGACTTTGTTTCCCACACTCGGACTATCTTCCTTTTCATTCTAATACCAAATAACTAACTTCTCAGGTCGAACACACTTGTCTTGCAAGTATAGCAGACTAGGCTGTGCTATGTTTGCGTTTACTCCGTTTCTCTTCTTGGCACCTTCTTCACCAAATACATACATACTATACAGTATGTGACTCCCATCAGTGGCTGCTGATGGTTATGTAACATACAGTACATATACGTGTCCCGCGTTTGTTTTCACCTCAGCGTTGCTTTAACACCTTCGCTGAGGTATGTCATCTTGTAGCTCGTGGCAACATCTCATACTGACTCATACCTAGACTCTAAACTATTCTAGGTACATCACAATATAGTGTTGCTTTAACACCTTCGCTGAGACTCTAAACTATTCTAGCAAACTTGCTAGACCACAACATTTTATATTGCTGGTTACTTACTTTGTGTAGTGTCCAGCCATTGTTGTATTGTTACAGCATTGTAAAGAGTTGGTCCTGTGTGGGCACTACAAAGTTGTTACCTTTAAGAACTCGAAGGTGCGAGTGTGATTTGACCCAAAGTGACTGCCTGTAGAACTATCTCTTGATATAAAAATGCAAGGGATGTCTTGTTAAGATCAAAGGTGAGAAAGTGAAATAGTCACCCAAGGTGCATTCAATGTTTCCGAAGGTGTGTCCGAAGTGTCTGAAGATGGTCCAATGTCAAGAAATGAAGGTCCAAGGTTACGCAAAGCATCTGAAGAGCTTCAATGAAACAGTGAGGTTTCCAGGAGAGAATACGACAGATTTGTTGAAGTATAAGACTTGCAAGGGTACCAAAGTATGACTATGCAAAGCCTATCAAAAGAACCTAAAGATATTGAGATGTGAAATGGCAGCAGTTAGGCCAAACAATCATTCTGAATGAACAAAGATTGATTGCACAAAGTACGAATATCCAAAAGTGACTCTACTAGTGAAGTAAAGTGCGAGTAGCTAGCGAGCCAGATTATATCCTACAGTGTGAAAGTCCGGAAACTGCATAGGCGAAAGTAGTAGCAAGATAAGCTATCCAAAATATAATAAGACTCAAGGCAAGTCGCTACAGAGATATGCATGTAATAGTGCACAAGGCATGCAGCTATATGTATTAATCAAGCTTTTCAATGGGCCGACAATGTATGTGCCCCCAAGACATAATCAATAACAGATAAACTAAGTGAACACGCACCAGTGAAGTCAAACAGACATGAACAGGACATGGTACGGAGGATCGGAAGTGTAAACAGGCCTTGGAAAGGGATGGATGACTCGGATGAGTGTACGGAACTCTTGGAAGGTAAGAGGAGTGTTGAGGAGTATAATGTGAGACATCTATGAGTTTGGCAGGATACGTGCCCAACACTGATCTGAGTGCTACAGTGCTTCAGGGGAGATAGAGCTAAGATCATAGGGATTATTTCAAGGTTGCAATTTCCCTATCTCTTTGGACACTATTTTGCTCTTGAAGTTACTATCTCATGATCACATGACCAGAAAACACCCACAAAGGGCAACACATTTACACTGAGTTACTACATCTAGCCAAGTACACAGGATTATAACAAAACACAAAACACAAATGCAAAAACAAGCTAAGGTAAATGATGCAAGACAAGGATGGAGGGGCCCTCTCCATCCCAGCCTTACACTCTACAGTACTAAAATGTAGGTAAAAAGTAGAGTCATTTATAATCTAGTATAAGACAAGTTAGTATGATACTGAATCTTAAATGGACACTTTCCAAGTTAAACTTGTCAAAATAAAATCAAAACTAAGCTGCAAGTTGAAGAAAAACTAAGTTGTCAGTCAGTATGATATCAAACACTGAATATAAGCCCACCTGAACAAACCAGGTAGCCACAGTTAAGCAGAAAATGTTATAGAAAGCTAGAAAAATATACACTGTTAGTACAAGTCTATTTGAAAACACAAAAGAGACCAGCTCAACAAACAAGGTAGGCACAAAAGCTAGAAAAAGTAAACACTATTAGTACATCAGGACACTTGACAAGATAAAGGAAAACTGGTGAAATACAAACCATATCTAAAAATTAAAGGTGTCAGTTTCTAGAGACATAGATGCTTGAAGTAAGTCAAAGGTAAAGGTGCCAGTCCTTGGAGACATGTATACCTAAACCAAGCCCTCAGATCTCAAAGGTAAAGGTACCAGTCCCTGGGGACATGGATGCCTAAAGTAAGCCAAAGGTGAAGGCGCCAGTCCCTAGAGATATGGATGCCTAAACTAAGCTCCCAGATTCTAAAGGTAAAGGCACCAGTCCCTGGGGACATGGATAACCTAAACCAAGCCTCCAGATTCCAAAAGTAAAGGTGCCAGTCCCTAGGGATATGGACAGCCAAAAAATAAATCTAAAAAAATATACAAAGTCAAATGCTGCAAGGAGTCAAAAGAGACCGACCTTAAGGTTCAACTATCAAGCATAGCTGTGAATAATAAACAGCAAGTTAGTGCTGTAAAGGACATATAGTAAAAACTTATGTTGTGAGATTGAACACTTAAAAATCACTATAGCACTACCTTTAACCACTTGCAGCTGCAGTCTGCAAGTAGCCAAAGGACAGGCACAGAATATGTTGAGGTTAGTAGTGTAATAAGAGGAAAGATGAGGAGAGGTGTGGACATGGTTAAAGTTTAGAAAGATGAACTGTGGGAGAAATATAAACAGTTGAAGTATGTTTGTTTATTTGTTGATGTTTGCACCAGACATTCCCACAGTCAGTGGATTTGTCCATGAACTTTGGGTTTTATTGGAAAAGTTCCCACGGTCAAGGTACTTTCTTGAACCATACACTTTTGAGCATTTTGCTTATAACTTACTAGGATCTTAACCTATTGATGTCATAAGACTATGGATAAACTCCTTTTCATAAGGGCTATAACTTTGATTTTTATCAGAAAAGTTCCCATGGTCAATTAACCAAAAATGCGAAAATTCACCAAGTCTTGTAATGTGGCTTTGTCATCATGGGGCACGGGGGTATGGCAGGGAACACTTACTAAGTGCATGCCCCAGGGCACGATGGCTGTGAGAAAGACCCCGCAGTCCAGAAAAGGGAGGTGCTGAGATTCTGTGCTGGTGGCAAGGATGAATTGGGTGTGTTTGGGTGGTCTTGTGTCATGCGCAGCGTGCTTCATCGAACTCGTCGCGGTTTCTTGCCGTGCAGCTTCTCCATCTGTACAACTGCAAATGAAACTTGTTCCCACCTCCATTGTGACATGTTAGGCTGCTCCTGACACCTTTTTTTGCCCTTTTCTTTGGCTCCCAATGGAGAACATCTGCGAGCTGCCTGATGGCTTGACTGTAGCTTTGTTGAAAGTGGCCAGAGGCTTGGAGATCACATTTTGGATTGCGTGTGCCAATGCTGCCGCAGGTAAGAGAGTGTTGATGAAGAACGGCCATGTCAATGACCAGTGGCAGAGGCTCACCAAGTATTATGGTCTCAAGCTCACAGATGGCGCTGCCAGTGTGACCAGCCCCATTTCTGTTGCCCCGAAGATATGAGAAGATATCAAGAAACACCAGTTCAGCTGGCTTTGGGAGCTTGGGGATAAGTGGAGCAGGACTGCTGCTGAGGGAAAGGAGTTCATACTGTGTGACAGGTCTTCTGGTGAGTCTTTTGTTTTGCTTTCTATTTTCTCAAGTTTCACATCAGCTCACTCCCCACCTTTCTAGAACTCTGCAGCACAGACCTTCTTTGAGAGGCTGTCGGCCTAATCACTAAGCTTGCTGTGTATGCTATGCTATCTGCTGCCATATCCAGCGCTCTACTCTACCTGGACAACCGAACACAGACTGAGAACAACAAAACTGTCTCTGCGCTCATTGGAGCTGCCCATGGTGGGGACTCTGTCGCGATCTTGCATCTTTCCAGCTGGAGCAAGCTGTAGAGTGCGACCACTGTATTCGTAGGACCAGCAACTCCTCTGCCTTCTCCACCAGTCCTGCCCCATGTCACTAGTGACACAACCATTCTTGACAGCTGCCAGCTTGACGTCAAGAGCATGCAGCATGCCCAGGACCTCCGTGATGCCATTGAACAAGTCAAGAATGGAGCTGTTGGCCACATTCATGAATATTACAGCCTCAGTGACAACAGAGCTGCAGAGGCCATGTGGGGCCGTCTGAAGGGCAAGGTCACCAAGCGCGAGCAGTTGTACAGCCTGCTTTCTGGCACTTTCCAAGGTGACAAGGATAGTTTCTTTCAATTTTTCACTGTCTCCACTGCCATAAATGACAAGAAATGGTGATCAGGCAAACAGAGCAAGCCCAAGCTGGTTGCTTTGAGGTTGGTTGTCAAAGCCATCCTGCACTGCCAAAGGAACTTAGCAGATGAGAGAACAAATGTCAGGTATATTGATCCAGTGAGTGGCCAGTTCTCTAAGCAGCTGTGGAGGGCAGTCTGGGGAGATCAAAATGACTGGCATATCTGGAGGGAACTCGGAAAGGAGTGGTATGAGGGTAGGAAGGCACTCTGAGGAAATTTGGATGAAGATATTTGTTTATTAGGTGATGTTTGGTACATAATATACAGAGTTGAAGTTCAGTTTAGGTGTGAGTGATTGTGTGTGAGCTAATGTAGTGAGAAATAAAATGAAAGAAACTGTGCTAAGGATGAGAAGGAATATGAGAAAGGGGAAGGAGAATTAGAACTAGTAGTTGATTGTATTATAAAGAAAGATTAGGCCAATGTACCAAAAAACAAAATTGAAGGAACTGTGCTGAATATGAGAAGGAATATGAGAAAGGGGAGGGTGAGTTGGAACTTTACCCTCTTTTTATCATTTTAGTCATATTCCACCATGTGCTCATAGTTGTTATTGGAGGAGTAGAAGTACCGAAACATAGTCAATGCCTCAACCTGTGACCAGCCACCCCAAGCAGCAATCATGCTTACATCAAAGCCACAGTTACATATACAGTGCTGACAGCCACCTCCTCGGCATGAGTATATACCATATAGTGCCCAGGATGAGTATGCAAGACCCTGAAGGTTACATGTCAAGGCATGGCTGAGAATGCTGGTGGACTGTGACACAAAGCATCAACTGTATGAACAAGATTTCTGTGATCCCAGGCTACTCACCACAGGCTGATCATGTAAGACATCTCCTAGCTTCCTAATGTGCAGAAAGAGGGAACCCTGCAATAGCCTGTGAGCTCTATATAGGCTTATAAGGTGGATAAGGGTTTATATAGGGTAGAGTCTTGTATTAGTATTATTTATTTAAAGATGTTAAGTATGCAGTACACCAGTCTATGCCGGCTTTCGAGTCTTCAGCTGAATCTCTATGTATGCTCCTACAAAACATGATTGGTGCTTTCAAAGAAAGGAGCAAAGTCAACATCTATGTTCACCTAGGATGATCTCGACACTTGTGAATTCAAGGGTCACTACCTCCTTAATTTGAAGGAGCATCAGCTATGCAAAAAGATAGGCTGTCTGGAAAAAGGCCACCATGAGGCAAGAGAATCATAGGCAAAGTCACACATATATAGCGAACAACCCCCCACCTTCTCTCCTCTGGTGTGTGAGTATTATCCATATAGTAATCATAGAGCTGGTGCATGTCTTCACGCAGGAGTACATGTGCAGACTGTGAGACCTCACCAGACCGTGCCTTCATTTTTTCTAGTCCAATCATGAATTCAGACATAACTTGAGCTTGTGTTGGGAGGCCATGGCTGTTAAGAGGTAATTTATGGATTGACAACTACAGAAAGATGTATAGGTATTTACCAGATGCCAGTATTTTCATCACAGCGCCACTCAGTGATACTTTCATTTGGCTGACAGTGCCAGTACCAGTAACTCAGTGCTGCACAAGTGGAGATGGTAGTGGAGAACTTTGACGACTTATTAAATGCTGACAAACAAATTTGAAGGTACAGAAAACATACCCTTTTGCCCTTGTATCCCTTGTCTTTCTCACCACATTTGTGGGTAATGAAGGCATAGATATCATAAGGTGTTTGGCATGTGACAGTGGTTGGGCCCCATTCAGTGTTTCGCTGCTTGTGGAATACAATATAAGCCTTAATGATTCTGTCAGCACAGTAAGTTACAATCATGAGTGATGAGGTGCCACTCACCTGGCATGTCCATCTCGTGTCTGATCTGTGATACTACTTCGTGCAATGCCAGCCGCATAATCTGCTAGCTCAGACACATCATTGTCTGGGAAATCTTTGAGACAGCTTGTCATCAGACTATCAAGGTACTCATCACACCATACAGCCTCTTCAAGGTCCAGCCAGACTCGCTCGTCAGCAATCTGCAGTGGGTCAGTTTAAAAAGGTTCAGCCAGTCATTCAGGAGATAGAAATTGATTGAATTTGCCTTGCTCTCCATAACCTCACTGTTTTTGTTTTGCATTGTCTTCACTTGAGGTTTCCATGTCATTGTAATAACCTATGAGCGAAAGAGAGTGTCATGTGTAATTCAGTCATTATCATCAAAGGCAGTAGGACAGATGTTATTATATTATTTACATAGCAATAATAAATAATTTACAATTTGCTGCTGCTGGAGAAGTCCAGCAGTAAAATAATTCAGTTTATAATGAAAAAAGGTGGGACTATCAAAGGAACGAAAACATACAGTAGAGAGAAACTTCAGCTATGAGGCTCGTAGTGTAGGCCACTGGCTCAAGCACCTGGTAGACTGTAGGTCGTGCTAGTTGTATTTTTGCATGAGGACAGCATGTTTGAGTTTGAAAGAAGTACACACCTTGTAGATGTGCGCAAGACAGCTCCAGTATCAAAGCTTGAGTGACAACAAGGAAGGACAATAGTGTTGGTCAGCAACAGAGTCATATTGCAAGACACTATCTAGCATGCACTGGGACGACTATTGAAGCGGTATGCAATCTGTTCCTTGCAGTGAGCAGAACATGTGGCAGAAAGTTGTTGTCGGTGGTGGTGGTTAGTAACAGAGCTGTGGGTCAGCCTGGGCACCATCTGTTGACAGGCTGGGTACCTGCCGAGAGCTGTGGGGTGTGATGTGAGTGATGAGGTGCATGAGTGAAGTGCAAACAAGAGACATATCATACCAAAATAAGTACCGTGCCCCATGAATGCCCTCGGTTCTGGTTTTGCATGGGGCACGATGCAAGGGGGGAAGTTCCTTCCTTTCTCTCACTATCTCTTCCTTCCTATTTTTGCCTCTTTTGTAGTTATTAGTTTTGTACTTAGTAGTTTATGTGTTATAGTAGTTCCTTGAAATATAATGTATTTTTTAAACTTGAAGAGCTATAATGGCAAAGCTACCAAGAGTTATAATAGTTTTGTTATATTTTACCCAACTGTAGCAGCTTTAGAGAGCTTTATAGGGCTCTATAGTAGGCACTATTCTATAGATGCCATGGAGACTTCAGGTACTATTGTGACTATATAGAGCTATATAGCAGAACAGTTTTTCCTGATGCAGCAGATTGGCAAATTCTGTTTATTGACAAATCCACTGACTGCCACTCAATAATTAGACTTTTCTAGAAGACATCACATATATGTTTAGTTAGTTTTCAAACTTGTCAACATGTTTCTTCTGTCAACATGCCTTTTTTGCTAATGTATTTCTTTGATCAGGTAAGTTTGTTTTCTTTATTTTTGGGTGGCATGTGTCTTATTGTAGAGGTGACTTTTTGTTAACATGTCTCTTTCATCATGTGAGTTTGTTTTCTTTATTTTTGGGGTATATGTGTAAGTCTACTGACTACAATTCCAGTTTTCTGCTTGTTCTTTCATTGACATGTCTTTTTGTGGATATGTCTTGTTGTAGATGTGACTTTGTTTGCTTTATTTTTGTGTGGTGTGTAAGTCTAGTATACTAACTCCAATTTCAGCTTTTTAGTCAACTCTTTTGTCCATGCATGTTTTTGTTTTTGTGTGGCATGTGTAAGTCCGATATACTGACCCTTCAACTGCCCTCAACCGACTATGACTTGCACAAAGAACACTGCCAAGAAGTACTTTATATATTGTAGAAGCAGGCTGGCTGACAGGAGTATAGGTCTTAACTCATGTGGTTGGCCCAATTGCATAGGCTATAACACCAGGCCAGCCTTCACTGGTATGGGTCACTATGGTTCTGGCCAGCCCACTTTATATATTGTGAAAGCAGGCTGGCTGACAGGAGTATAGGTTATAACCTATGCGGTATGTGTAAGGAATGATAGCTAGATAAGAAGAGGTAAAATGGGGAGAAAGGGGGAAGTGGGGTAAAACTCAAATAGACCTCTGGACGTAAATATAGATTCGGCCCAAGAGGATGCTACTGAGAATGATTCCTCTAAGTAAAAGTGTGAGGGGAAACTTGGAAACTAATAAGGGTAACTGAGAATAGAGGAAACGTGAAAGCCAATGCTGATGTGATGCAAGTGCAAGTGAGCCACCAAAAATGTGGAGTGATGAGTACTGGCGAACCACTGAGACAATAGGATGCGGTATGAGCGCAAGTGGCCGCAATACAACAAAATGCCAAAGCATGTAGTTAAGCCAAAGGATGAATATGAAGGGGCAATGGTAAACACAAGAGTAAGGCAGAGCAATGTTAAGTGCCGAGAGTGTCAGATGATATGAGAACATGAGTATACAATAATTAGCGCCGCTGGTAGAGATGCACGCACGAGAGTGTTGCTGAAAATTTTAGATTCTTAGTTCCAGACTCCAGTTGCATGCAATTGGGTGATAATTTTGATGGGAGACAGGAAAGGGTACTTGAAAATTCTAAGTATGGAATATATATATATGTGCCTAAGTGTTACTCAGAACTGAGTAGATAATGATAAGTATATAAGTAGGGTCCATGACACATGTAATAAAAATATAAACAGGATAGTGTTGGAGATATTGTCAGTCTAGCACAAAACAAGTAACATACGCACCAATGAACCAGTGGAGGATATGGATAGAGCAGACAGAGAATGCATGATGAACCTGAAGAGAAACTGGTGCGAGAGCCACAGCTGTTGGCTGACAATAGAATGCTTGCATGTTTTACCGATAGTAACATGCACTGTATTAGAACCTGAGGGGTGACACTAAAATGGCTTATATGAGGTCATAAAGACCATAAGTCTTACAGCAGTCAGCCCAATTGCATAGACTACAACACCAGGCCGGCCTTCACTGGTATGGGTCACTATGGTTCCAGCCAGCCCACTTTATATATATTGTAAAAGTAGGCTGGCTGATAGGAGTATAGGTCATAACCCATATGGCTGGCCTATACTGATTAGATATAAAATATGTATGAGCTGGCCTTCATAGTGTACAGTGAATTTTGAATAGCCTAAGATTGATGGATTCACCATGTTACAGTTTTGTAGATCACAATTGTACTACTAGTGTATTGCACAGATTTTGTAAGTTTCATATCATTTTTTCTGTTAGCATTTATTATTAGCATTCAAGTTGGAAGGTAATAACCTCATCCCAATCCTTTGATCTAACTTAAATACTAATGATGTTTGGCTAGTTTAGTGTGCAACCAGGTTAAGGTCTTCAAGGGCCTTCAGAACCATACTGATCCAAAATTATTTACACCACACTGTATTTTCAACATTGCCATTATTATATACTGGAAGATTGAGAGCTTCAAGCCCCTTCAAAACCATACTAATCCAAGAGCTACCATTAGTTCCTACAGTATTTACATCACTGTAGTGTCAGCTATAGATAGGCCTGTATTAATATTATAGCACTGGGCCTTGCAGGTCTTGCTATATGACTATAAATAAGCTTATATATATAATTGGTCACACCTATCCCTGCATAATGGCCTATCTATCATTTATACTAGAGTCACCAGCCTGTCCAGATACTGCAGATATCAATAGTTACTGGCCTATTCAGGTATTACAGATATATAGAGTGACAAGCCTGTCCAGGTATTATAGATTCATCATTGATTCTAGAGTGACTAGCCTGTCCAGATCCTGCAGATAGTTGGCCGATCTTGGGTATACAACAACCAGCCAGTGTCTGGTAGTCTAGGTTTCACAGGGCAATGTACATATCCTATGACAGGCTTTTATAGTATCATATGACTAAAAGGTGTGCATGAATCCCTCTGCTAGTGGCAATAATACACTCACTATTTCAAACCACAAAGGTTTTGTAGTTCAGGCTAGGAATAAGCTGCATGACCTTGTACATCTAACTTAACAAACTATCTTGTCTTTCCCAAGATTTCTTGAAGCTATTGCTGAAGCAACATTCATGGAGCCTCAGGACCCCAGGACCCCCTAGGTGCAGTAGTACATGTCCTCTATACACTACTATCTTTTGACAGTGCTGCTCACCATTCACTATGGGAGCACTGAGGGGCCTCCTGAAGGTCCTATAATCATGAAACTGCATCTGGAGCTGGTGTCAGATTGGTGGAAACTTAAGAAGAGACCAGCATCATTGACATTTCTGATAATCTTCAGTGAGTTGTATTCATAATAGAAGAGAACACTTGACTTATTTTTTGTAGGCTTCTTACATGTGCCCTGCATATAGTCATTCTACATGAATACATACATGTAGTTATGCTTCAATTCAGACCTGGTGGTTGCACACCTCAATATATCTGACACCCTTGGTTTACTGGAATTGTAGAGTCAGAGTTTTGGGCTGAGAGATGGTTATCGCAACACGGGAGTGCAGTTTTTGTGTTTAATAGAAGACAGCCCATGGTTTTTTCTTGACTGTTGGAGTAGGGGACCCCAGGGGCAGCAGCAGAGCAGCAGCCGGGTAGCACCGTAGATTAGTCAGCCACTCAGTGTCCTTCGGGCTTTGTTGTTGCGTAGTGCTCTTCACCACTTCTTGCCTTGCGTGTGATATGCAGGTGCTTAGTCACGGATACACCGCTCCACTGTGTCCACTGCACTTTGTTAATCCTGATTCTACCTTCATCAAGTTTAATAGTATGTTTTTAAATTTTAGATTGAAACTAGCACTGGTGGAAAAAGACAATATCTCCTGGGAAAACAATCTAAAGACATTGTAAGGAATGGCAGCATTTTTTCTGTCTCAATTACTCAACATTATCCTAAGATAATTCAGAAAGTACCTAGTTTGTTATCTATCTTATGCCCAAATGTTTTTTATCATACATTTTGCTTGTTATTATCAGAACTTCAGCCTTGTGCAGGAATAGACTTTGTAGCTGATTTCTCTTTGTTATCACAGTTAAGTTGTAGGATAGATTATACTCTTATTTAATTATCTTTTGTATTTTTTTTTTTTGATTTTCCAGTCTTTATTTTTCCCATATGACATCACTCTGAGGCAGTCAATAAAATTTTATTTGTCATCTCTTTGTTTGATCCTTTTTTCTCTTGCACTTAGATAGAAAACAATGTCAATGTCACCTGAATGCAACTGAGAAGAAATTAGTGGTTTTATTTAAAGAATACTCTCATTGTACTCAATTTGTCCTGATCTTGTCTGTTCATACTATAATGTGTAGTTATTTTGCTTGGCATTAAATTGTGTTCAGCTTACAAGCTCCATGAACAAAACAATTGATTTCACACTGTACTCCCTGATATAATTGTTAACATTAACACTTAACACTTTAACAGTTGACATTGATAGTAATGTTGACACCAATGTCATAGAATTTTAACAGTCAATTAATAGTGGTGCTAATAGTGGGCAAGAATTTGTAAATTCAAGATAGGTATCATTGATGTAATAGGGATGAAGGGCCAGGTGGTGAGAGAGCAAGAAAATTTTGATGGTAATCTTTGGGATCATTGAGGGGGTGAACCTGTGGCCTGCTTTTGTTGAGAAATTTGTGTTCAAGTATGTATATGGATGAATATCAAAAACAACTGCTGATATGATATTATAAAGACTTGTGTTAAGGTCGTACTCTCGTAGGATCGGATCCAAAGGACTTCGGCCTCAGCTCGTACGCTGTGCCCCTTTCCCAAGTACTGTCCCTTATTTCAGAGGTTAACAATAATGCGTCCAGAGGATCGGACGAGTCTTGTAGTGTTATCCAGATGACTTCCGGATATCAGAAACACATATAAGGCTAATCCGGACAAGTCTGAACTAGAAACAAACAGAGGATAGACTATCCAAAGATAGAGGTGGAGACATAGACTGACAGAATCGATCTGAAGTCTCAGAGATTGACAAGAGCTGATTAGACTCAAGTCCAAAGAACAGAAAGAGGACAAACTAAGATGATATTCGAACTGAGGTACTACCAGACATATACACGAGTTTATATACTAAGGGATAATGGAAAGATCAGTAAGCAAGAGTCCGAGGCTATGTACGAAGCATAAGCAAAGTTTATCAAATGCAAGTCGGAAATGAAGCATAGGTTAATGGATCAGTAAGCATAACCGGTAGTAAATATAACTGAGATACCGGGAGTAAAGGAACACTGAATAAAGGAATAGGCTGTGTTTAACATTATATGAACAGGAAATGAATTAAGAAGCTTATCGTATATCGTATCGGAAACGGATCTAACGGATCGGATCTAAGGTCCAAGGTCCGGATGAGAAGCATGGATATATGGGATATGACAACTTGCTACCCTTTAATGATGCTCTAGTTTATGGTGATGGATAAAACATATAAAAGTTTTGCTCTGCAACAGTGCAAAGAAATAATTTGTGGTCCTCATATCCTCTCATCTGAGGGACAGCCAATCCTAATGAGCTTCCTGTGTAGGAGAATGCAGTGATTTTTGTGGTCCTCCTCATGGAAGGAACATCCAATTGTGATCTATAATAGAAATGGCTACAAGGATTCCATTGATGCTTCATTGATTCTCCTTTCATGATATTGAGACAGTTGTATTATATTATAATATTAGAGTCTGTTCGGACAGTGGATTTTTGCAAAATTCAAAATTGCTTTGTCATGTTACGAGCATCCGTCACATCACACTGATAACAGGTATTGTCATACACCATCCAGCAGAATGCACCACAACCCCGATCAAGACCCAACAGACATGAATGACGCAGGATCTGATGCAGGCGACACATTGAAGTTAATAGATGTCAATATGGAGGAAGATGATGATGAGTTGGATGTGCTGGAGGGGTTGTTCTATCCTGCAGCTCGAGCAGTCTCCATGATTGTCATTGATGCAGCTAATCAGGCATTTGAAACATATTTAAAGGCCCACCTTGAGAAGATACCATATCACACCTCAGCTCTGTTGGGAATCACATGGGTCAATGAACTTCTTGCTGGGCATCCAGACCGCATTCGATGTGAACTTGGTGTATGCCAGCACATTTTCTATGTTCTGTTAAATCTACTTCATACTGCGGGATGTCGAAACTTGAAGCATGTCACCCTTGAGGAGCAATTGGCCATCTTTCTCTATGAATGTGTCCCAGGTCTTTCTGTCCGCCACCTTGGTGAGCACTTTCAGTGCTCTAATGACACAATATCAAAGTATGTCATTCATTCCTATCATACTACATATGTGTCATATCCCGCGTTCTGGGTCCGGACCTATCACACTCATCATTTCCGGATTTCCGGATCCGGCCGACTTCTATGTATCGTCCGGATCCGACCCGCGTCTAACTTCCGTGCCTTATCCCTTTGGTATTTCCCTTATCAGTTAGTACACTTTATTTTCCGTCCCTTATTCATTTCTGTCTTCATTTTACTAAGTTCCGATAGACTAGTGATAGTCGTCCCATATGTTTTCTCCATAGCTTTACATAGCCTCACACTGCACTTACTGTTCTCCGTTATGTCCTCAGTAGTATATAAACCCTGTACAGTCTCTGTAGTTTCCTTAGTTCGAATATCATCTTAGATCTGCTCATTACCTCCTCCATCCGACTTGAGTTTCTCTCTCGTCGACCTCCGCTCGTCTTTAGGGATCTGCACGGGTATACCCTGGGGTGTCGGGGACCTGACCCGCACCCGCACCCGGCAAAAACCCGTACCCGCTCTGACGGGTACAGGTTTTCGGCGGGTACAACAAGCTCAGACCCGTACCCGCACCCGTGCAGGGTTTACCCGCGGGTACCATAGGTATCACCACCAGTGCTTAGCACATATGTCCAGCACACGTCAGCGAATGCTGACGTGACTCGAACATATGTGGATGGCACAAGAAGGAGGAGTGGAGGCACGGCGCGAATGACGGACGCGTCGAAATAGACGCTGATGTCGTGGCAGGTGGTGTGTCGCATACGATCAAAGTCGAAGGTGAGCGTGTCGAAATGGGAGATGGTGGTGTGGTGGCGCGAGAGTGTGATGTGTCAGGCGTCGCGTCCTCATTGCAGAAAATGGGGGCAGAGTCAGGACGGCGACTTACTGACAAGATCATTCCTTCCTCCTCTCGTTCCTCCTCTTTTCCTTCTCTCTTCGTCCTGGTGTCTTCCGTGTGCATTCGAGCCACGCCAGCATTCGCTGGCGTGGTCTGAGCGTGTACGCTTGATGCTGGCGAGTCAGTGTGTCGCGTAGGTGTTGGCGTCGTAGATGGGATGGTGGTGTTGGTGTCGTGGATGGTGGCGTTGGTGTCGTGGATGGTGGCATTGGCGTCGAGGATGGTGGCGTCGGCGTCGTGGATGGTGGCATTGGCGTCGTGGATGGTGGCATTGGCGTGAAAGCTGGTGGTGGTGCGAGTGCTGGGCGCACAAAGATAGGCGCTGGCGACGTGACACATATGACGTCGTCGTTGTTGCTGGGGGTAGAGTCTTCAATGTGAGTACTCACTTTCAGCGTGCCCAAAGTCTCGTCTCCTCAAGTTCCTCTTTCCTCCTTCATCTCTATACCATCCCTTCTCCCTTCCTCGATTCTCTTGTCCTTTCGTCTTCGCGTGTCGTCCGCGTGTGTTTGCATCGCGTCAACACTTGTTGACGCGTTTCGGGTGCGCGCGCTGTGAACGTGGAGTTGGTGGACTTGGGAAGGCGCGTTAGGTGCCGGTGTTGGTGGTGGTGCCGGTTGTAGCGTGCACGCGGGAAGTATGGCGTCCGCTATTACTGATGCAGGAGGTGCTACCATTTATGGAAGGCACGGGTATAGCTGGGGTACGGGTAAGAGCGCGGGTCTTAGAATCCCGACCCGTACCCGTACCCCAGTAGTACCCATACCCGTGACCCGCGCGGGTTACCCGTACCCGTGCAGATCCCTACTCGTCTTAGGATTGACTCCGATAGACTTATCACCTCCGCCTCTACCTTTGGTAGTCCTCCGCTGTTTCCTTTCTAGTTTGGACTTCATCTGGATTAGTCTTATCTCTTGTTCCCGAACGTCCGCCGGAATTCCCGCGCATCGGACATCGGACTCCAGACATCGTTCGACAGCCTTCGGAAGTTAGGGGCATGTACTCGGGTAAGGGGCGCAGCGCACGAGCTGAAGCCAAGCCCTTCGGATCCGACCCTTGAGCACGTTCTTAACAGTATATTCGAACTCACACCTTACCGAGTATACTTACATCTGACTTCATGGCACCTACACGGGCGCAGACCGCTCTCAATGCAGCGGGTGTAGTAACCGCCCGACGCGACTCTACTCCCATAGTTGATGCCTTCCTCAGTTTCTCACAGTGTCGCGCTAGTGCGCGAGGCGCTGCCTCCAGCATCTCACAACTCATGAATCGCCCACATCCGTCTACCCCCACCCCCACACCCGCCCAAATCTTCCGAACAATGATTCTGATGATGAACTTGCCCTAGGCGGAAACCCGCCAGGAGGTGGTGGTGGAGATCCGGATGATGAACCTCCGGAAGACCTGACCGATGATGAAAACGAAGGTCTAGGTCCGCATGACCTGGTCTTCCTCCGGTTATCCCAAGCAATCAATAACCTGGCGCATAACAACCGCCAATCCTCTGGATCCGGTGACTCTAAAGTCAAAGTCCGAGAACCGGATACCTTCAACGGCACTGAGCCCCAGAAACTCCAGGCGTTCTTTGTCCAATGTGAGCTTAACTTCCAAGCTAAGCCGAAATCTTTCTGTACCGGCTGAACCAAGGTCAATTTCACGCAATCATACCTCAAGGGCATGGCCCTTGAATGGTTTGAGCCGGACCTCCTTTCGGATGATCTAGCGGATCGTCCGGACTGGATGGATGACTACTCTGAGTTCATGTTAGAACTCCAAACTAACTTCGGACCTCATGACCCAGTCGGAGATGCGGAAATGCAGCTGGAACAGCTCTATATGCGCGACGGACAGCGCATCAACAAGTATGTTGTAGAGTTCCAGCAGCTAGCTTCCCAAGTCTGAGGTTGGGGCGATGGAGCTTTGCGCCATCAGTTCTACAACAGACTTCCGGCTCGCATCAAGGACGAAATCAGTCATCAAGGAAAACCCACCACTCTGTCCCAATACAAAACTCTCGCCCAGACTATCGACGCTCGATACTGGGAACGCAAGGGAGAAGTCTCCTGCGAAACCAAACCCTCCGCATACGCGCCTCCTGCTAAGCAGTCAGCTTCCACTTCCGACCGGAAAGAGTACTCCGGCGGAAAATCCGGAAACACTTCGGCTTCCTCCTCCGCCAAACTTCCGGACTTAACGTCCAAGCTCGGAAAAGACGGTAAACTCACCTCCGAGGAGCGCCAGAGGTGCATGGAAAAGAAGCTCTGCCTCTTCTGCGGCGGACCCGGTCACACTGCCCGGGACTGCCTAAAGTCCACTTCCCGTGCGGCCAAAGGTCGTGCCAGCACGGTGACTCTGGAAGCCAAACCGGAGGTCTCGGAAGAGACAAAAAATTAGTCCGCAACCCTCTTGACTCCACGTGGGACAAGGGTTGCGTTGACTCAACCCGCGCAATGGAGCTACGCCTCAATGCTATTTCCTTTTCCAATCCGAACTCTTTAGTACCATCTGTCTCTATTTCTACTTTTCCCGATATTTCTCCGTTCCCGGCTCTAGTAGATTGTGGTTCCTCCCATTGTTTTATAGAAAGCAAGCTAATCCGAGAAAATAACATTCCGACCTATGCAATTCCTCTGCTTCCGCTCCAACTGTTTGATGGTACTTCTAATGCCACTATTACCGAGGCAGTAGATTTACCGATCCGGTTTCCGACCGGCATGGTTACCTCCCAAACATTTTATGTTACTCCGTTGGACTCATCCTGTTCCATCGTTCTAGGATATAGCTGGCTCACCTGACACAATCCGTTGATTGACTGGGTAAAGGGCAGCATCGATTTCTGTCTGATTCCTCATGGAGTGCCTCTGACCCCTCCGACCTCTTTTCTGCCGGCTCCAGCGGAAATCCCTTCCTCAACCTCGCCGATTCCCTCTGCTGATAGCGCCGTTCCCAATATTTCCCTAATTAATGCAGTTGCCTTTTGCCAGGCCTGCAAATTAGAGGGATCGGTCCAGTTCAGCATTTTCATCCGACCCACCGGTGTCAATCTCCGCTCCGCTACACTCTCCTCCGAACCTCCGAACCTATCTGGAATCCCTTCGGAATATCATGAGTACGCGGATGTCTTTGATAAAAACAAAGCCGGACAGCTCCCTCCCCATCGTCCCTATGATCTTAAGATTGATTTGGAAGAAGGAGCAGCTCCGCCCCTTGGCACCATCTATTCCCTTTCTCCAGTCGAGCTTGTAGCTCTCCGCAAATTCCTTGATGAGAATATTGCGACCGGACTTCTCCGTTCCTCATCCTCTCCGCACGGAGCCCCTGTCCTGTTTGTCAAGAAGAAGGATGGCTCCCTACGCCTCTGCGTAGATTTCTGAGGACTCAATAAAATCACAAAGAAAGACCGCTACCCTCTTCCCCTCATTTCCAACCTTCTCGATTCTCCGAGCCGCGCTAAAGTTTACACTAAAATCGACCTCCGGTCCGCTTACCATCTAGTCCGGATGGCGGAAGGAGACGAGGGGAAAACTGCTTTCCGGACGCGCTATGGCTCCTATGAATGGTTGGTTATGCCCGAGGGTCTCACCAATGCTCCGGCGGCTTTCCAGCACTTTGTCAACACCATCTTCGCCGATATGCTTGACATATGTGTTATTGTGTATCTCGACGACATCCTCATTTATTCCGCAGACCTTGCATCTCACAAACAACACGTCCTTGAAGTTCTCCGACGCCTCCGGAAGCATCGTTTATACGCTAAACCAGAGAAGTGCGAATTCCATTCCGACTCCGTAGAATACCTCGGCTACCTCCTATCTCCGGCTGGCCTTACCATGTCTTCGGACAAAGTCCAGACTATCTGCAACTGGCCAGAGCCCCGGAAAGTTAAAAATATTCAATCATTCCTCAGGTTCACCAATTTCTATTGTCGCTTCATCTTTAACTACTCGGATATTGTAGTTCCACTTACGCGGCTCACTCGCAAGGATGCTCCCTGGAGTTTCTCCGAGGATTGCCGGAAATCCTTTGAAACTCTCAAGAAAACCTTCACTACCGCTCCGGTGCTTACGCACTGGATGCCGGATGTTCCTATCATCGTTGAGACGGACGCTTCTGACTATGCTATCGCCGGAATACTTTCTATAGTATGTCCGGACCAGGAGCTCCGCCCAGTTGCTTTTTACTCTCAAACCCTTTCGGCTCCGGAACTCAACTATGACACCCATGATAAGGAACTCCTAGCTATCTACGAAGCTTTCCAGTCCTGGCGACACTACCTTGAAGGCTCTGCCGAGCCGATAGACGTCATCACGGACCACAAGAACCTTGAGTACTTCGCTACCACAAAACTCCTCACCCGCCGCCAGGCCCGCTGGTCGGAATACCTTCATCAGTTCAACCTCATTATCCGTTTCCGACCCGGAAAACTCAGAGCTAAGCCCGACTGCCTAACTAGACGTTGGGACGTCTACCCCAAAGAGGGGGATAAGGACTACGCTCAAGTTAATCCACACAACCTCTGGCCAATATTTACCACAGAACAGCTCGCTTCGTCCCTCCAGGCATCACACCTAGCAATTCTGGTGCTCCGGGCGGCTGTACTGATGGATGTCGAGCAGCTTCATAAGGACATTCTGTCCGCCCTCCCTAATGACCCTATCGCTTCCAGTCATCTTCCGGATCCGCCAGACCCGAGATGGACAGTGGATGAAAGTGGTTTCTGTAGCAGCTCAGCTCAGCGGACGTGCGAAGTCAACTGAATGTATTGGTATATACCTGTAGCAGCTCAGCTACAGATGTGTGTTAGTTAGGTACATGAGATATACGAAGATGCTACTAACCTCAGCGGACGTGCGAAGTCAACTGAGGGAAGCTACGAAGTGCGCGAGAACAAACGATATTTGTAGGTACTTAGATAATACAGCGGGACCGAGTGACCATAGCGAAGGGTTTAATATCCAACACTCCCCCTCAAACCGAGCGTAGTCCGAGGGCGGAGGCAAAGTGCTTAACTTTCAAGCTGGGGAGGGGTTTCATAAGGGTGTCTGCGACCATATTGTCCGTAGGACAGTAAACTAAAGAAATAGAACCTTTGTCAACAGAAAATCTAATAAAATGATACCGGATATCTATGTGCTTAGTCCGGGCGTGAAACGCCCCGGACTGAGCAAGCGCGATTGCGGACTGGTTGTCACAATGGAGGACGGTAGGTTGGGTGAGCGGGCGAAAGACTTCGCTGACGAAGCATCGGAGCCAAATGGCTTCTTTGGCAGCGTGCGTCGCTGCGACGTACTCTGCCTCCGTCGTCGAAAGAGTCACGAGCTCTTGTTTCTTCGATCCCCAGGATACTACCCCGCCGTCCAACAGAAACGCATATCCAGACACCGCGTGTCTGTGTTCCTGCGACGCACCGTCTGCGTCTGAGAACCCTTCCAGCCCTTGCCTGCAACTACCGAAGGTGAGTGCGAGTTTCTTCGTACCGACGAGGTAACGATAGATGCGCTTGACAGCATCCCAGTGCGCCATCCCTGGATTTGCGCCGA